CCCTATTAAAAGTAGTTACATCTATAATATTGATATGAGTAAATAGTACATATGATAGTTACGTTTATAACACGTGACGTGTCACAAGGAATGGATAGATACAATAAAACCAAATAAATAATTCTACAGTACAAATTCAATATTAGAAATAGAAATATAAGTTAGAAACTTTAACAACGGACTTTTAAGCCTAACAGACAGCTGATACGGAAGTTATAGACGGGTCACGCGGAACGTCAATATAGTGGCTGGAATAGCTCGTGGAAGACATGAATTCTATTTCCGGCATAATAGATCGAACACACACATACAGGCCACGGCCACCTAAAGCCTAGAGGCTCTGTTCCTAGAATTCGGTCGAACTACAAATAACTACCACTTAAAATAGTAACTGAACTCAAATATAACGAATATTGAAAGAGTTTTTTCAAATAAATATATAATAACACCAACGAAATATCAATCGTATTTCGTCGCTCGTTAAAAACATCGAAGTAAAATAACTTATAAGTCGCTATTTGAATTTATTTGTTGCTAACTGTGAAGAGTTTTTTTTATGTATAATAAGAGATTTTATTCTTGAACGATACCAATTTATAGCCAATAAACGAAACACAAAAACTCGTCTCGATTTTTTTTTTATTATAATAACTAGTTTAGTTTTATACTTTTTATATAAATACGACTAGAATCCTTTTTGTTTTAATAATAAAAACAAATGAGATGCTCCATGAAGTCTTTTTTTATTTATATTATATAAAAACTTATGAATCAACATAAAAAATATAACTAATGATTTATGTTCTTTTTATTGATATAAACCTATTAATTTTAAGGATTTTTTTTTATTGAAATTAATACATATATTTATTTTCAGTGGAGACGCAGAGTACATCACGAGTAACTACAACATGAGGAATAATTCCAAGTGAGTAACTTAACAACTATACCACTTTGACGTCCTTATCCACGTCTTACAACGATTGCAATGTTCAAAACAATTCTATTACGGAAATTTTAGTATAAAAACCTAAGATTTTCCTTTACAACAGATCTAGCATTTAGACAAACCATTGCCGAGATTATTATTAACAAGGACACAGATATTTTATAAAACATCTTATATTTTTACTTATTAAATATAAATTATTTGATCTCTTCAAAGACTATCAATAATTTTAATGAATGTGTTTCTTGTAACCATTAAATTTTTTAATCAAGCGTTATCGATATCTGAGATTGAGGTTTTGTGATGCGACGTGTTCTACACTGATAACGTCAGAGCACGTCCACGTGAACTTCCATAGAAAATGTGTATCCATTAACATTTCTAGGTAGTTATATATTCGGAATTATATCAAACTTGAAACATTATTATAGAATTCCGAAATATTCATCTTCAGTACTCTTCCAGCAATTCAGTAATTCAGTACTCGTTTCATGTTCTTATTCAATATTACTCTGATTATAATAATGTGTTCGGTCATGCTTTAGCCATATACTTATTACTTCTAAATACTTTAACGAGATATTTTGATCTTAACGCTCTGACGGCAAAGGTTATTTTTCTCAGCTTATTAATTTTAAAATCTATATTTAAAATTTTCCTATAAGTGGCAATTAAGTGTACACTTTATAACAAAATTAGTTATACATATCTTGTAAATTTTTATTTTAAGCATGTAACATTTGATTAACTTATATTTATATAAATACATGACAACATTTATACTTGTTATGTAGGTATTAAAAAAAGTTTAAAAAGAAACAAAATAATTTTAAAGTGTCCAAGAAACCTAAGTCTCTTATACTTCGTGGCATGTTAACAGATTTTATAAGAAATCCAAATATTACGTCATAATACAACGTTGGAGTTGTTTTCCTTTAACATCTGTAGCTAAAGATATGAGCTCAAGTTATTATTACGTACAAAACTGAGACTTGTTTTAATACTTAATAAATTGAATACATTTTTAGATTTGATGATGTTTTTCTTACGTCACAAAATCTTAGTGCAAATTCATACAAACATTTTATTTGGAAAAATACTTCTTGTTGGTATATTTTCAATTTTAATTACAGATTGCATCGCGTTAGATAAAAATTCGGAAACGGTAATTTATCAAAAGCATTACGTAAGAGTGACGGTAAAAACTATTCGGAGATATAGAATATGAGTGGTTAGTTTAAATATGTAGTTCAAATAACAATACATTTATTCTGTTACCGTATTGATATCATTATATAGGTTGTAGTATATACGATATGAGGTTATTAAACTTCAACACATAAGTGCATAGTAACGGTAGAACCAGATAACAAGTGCAAATCCTGCGCCGGCGCACTCACAACCAGTCATAGTCCTCAAACTATTAAAGGCTTCACGTAAATATTTCATGCTATCAAACATCAGTTTTATTAACTATATTTTATCTATTATAATATTATAATGAAGGAATTCATCGATAACATTTTTATGTTATTTAAAGGTAACCGTTATTTGAATTTACAGTTAGCCTTTAATACTGAAGATATCTTTGAATACAGGACTACCAGTTTTGTAGAGACTAACACATAAAATTATTATTATAGATGGGATACTGGTTTAGTTTGATAGGCACCATAAAATTTAAAAGTTAAATGCATGAGAGTTGTTTGGAAACTTAGTTGGTCAAAAACAGTTCGTTGACCTGAAAGACATTGAACTTAGGTCACGCCGGTCCGCATTAAAATCTGTCACTATTATAATAGAGACGTTGCATAATTTTTTATAGATTTCAATAACGTTCATCATTTTGTTAAATATGATGGGTGCTTATTATTATTATAGTACGTTTTGAAGTTAGCCTGTATCGTACATGCAGATTAACCCGGCTAGAAGCACTGAACAATGAATGACTAGATATGTCACTGCTTTATTGTGAAAAACAGGGAGTGTTTAAATAGACAACCATTAATAACAAGAAATCTTTCTAATTTAATGAAAAGTTATTTTAATTAATTTTATTTATTTCTAAATCCTTCTAAAAATATTTCTTAGAACAGAAAAATTTAGTGTTTTATTTAATATTTTATAGAGTTTATCAGAAATTAAAGAAACAGTTGAATAATGGGGGAATTATTATTTGCTTTAGAGGTTGAATATTTATAACTAACTTTATAACTTTTTGTCATTATTACTAAATATACATATTTGAACTAGCAGTAGAAAGTTGTATAAATACGAGGCTCTACATAACGTCATCTTTTGTTATGACTTTCAGATCTTGACAATAGCGGAAAGAAAATTGAAACGAAATAAACATACAATCAAATTTCTTTCTTTTTTATTATGGAAAATGGCTATTTTACTATGGAAATTCGTTTCTTAAGAATTACTTTGATAACATTCCTTTATTGAGAATTATATTTTATCAGTACAGGAACCAAGATTTATATTAACGTAAAATAAGCAAAAAGGTATACAAAAGATTTAACTTACAAGTATGATGACAAGTAAACTTGTGATTATTAATGAAAGATCACAGTTTGACAAATGTATATTTTATTTTAAAATTTAAATTCTTCCCGCAAAGGCATGCAAACTGGTTTGGGCCTAAAATGTAATCAATTGAACATATTCCACACATTTTAGACACAACTGTTTTATTCATCAAGGAAAACGACATGTAGTAATTTTGAACGTGCTATCTCAATTTAATGGGCTATTTGGGCCTTAAATTCCTTATCCTTCCATGTGTGATTATCTAAAATATTTGGATTTAGTAATCTTTGTCACCCTTCGTGTCTTTCTTAAAACTTCCCAATACACAAAAATAAAAATAAACACATCGTAGCCAATAATTAAATTAAGGAAATATTCAACTTAAATAACTAAAGTATAGAAAAAGTCAAAGTATAAAAGGACCATTAAGATAACTGAAACAAGATCTAGTTGAACATGTGTCGATTTTGACAAGTTTAACTGTTCTATTTGTAGTTATTTAATATATGTATATGAAAACTATTATTGATATAAAATAATTGTCTTCGATCAGCCTGCCTCGAAAAAAGTTTAAAAATTAATATTTCTTAATAATGTCATATTTCAATTTTTTTATTGCTTATTCCATAAACACTGCTTTGTTGTTTTCAAACTTAATTTCAATGTTCTGTTTTTTATGATATATGTAAAAAAGTAACTATTGCCTGACTGTACGAAATCTAGAATACGAAACTATTAAACCATTAAATCGTAAAATTAAAAGCACATGACTATAATGTACCGTTGATATAAGAAACAATAAAGAACGTATAACAGGTAAAAGAGCAAAGCGAATTGTCCTAAAAAATTTAACTATAGTTATTATGAAATATAAATCTAGAGTAATCTAAAACGTAATAAACTAACATCAATATATAAAAACTAAACTAAGCTACTTCAAAATGCGAATTGTATTAATTTAAGGTATTTACCATGCACCAAATTAAAAAATATATTTAAGGCTTACATATGTAATTGTTTTTTTATTCATTATATTTAGTGTCGCGTTACATTTAGTAACATTTATGAAGTTTTGTATTATTTTTTAAAGTTTACGATCTGAAATAACACGAAGGCTGTACTAAAAACAATCCCTTTTTGATTTTGCATCTCAATATCTAAGCCAGACTCCGTTTCATATTATTTAGATTTTCTAAGCCGCTTATTCAGAGATGCCTCAATAAGTTTCCTTTTAATAAGTTATAAAAAGGGATCTCCTTTCCCCCGATCCCTTCGTTTGACACCAAGGAAAATTGCGGCCAAGTAAATTGTGTAAGCCAAACAAATTGAAAATTTCGTAGCAATTTTCTCCTTCAAAAACCATTTACCATTTTTCACTTTTTACAAAAGCATTGTGATACTTAAATCTATGATTTGGATGGCTTTGCATTAAGTTTTAAGTCACATATTTATCCATGTCAGGATATTGGTACTTGTAAATATAGTTAAAATCAATATCAATTAACCCAGATAAATAATGAAGAGTCCCTCCAAAAATGGGGCCACGAATATATTTTATGATTTTATGCTTGTCCCCAGGCCATCGTTTTGGGCGCAGAGAAGTAGGCTCGAGAAGAGGCTTATTCTCTCTCTGGGCGTGATATCTGTGCTGGCTGTAGCTTTTCTCGCAGCATTTCTCGCCACTGCCCTTATGAAGACATCCACTGATGTTAATGGTAAGTTTTAGCATAACATACGTTACATGTCATTTAGTTGTAAATAACACATGGACCATGATGAAATTGAAATCGATGATTTATTTATTTTGTGAAAATAATTTTAAATGCTCAAAGTTAGCAGTTAGCAAAAAATAAACAAAATACTATCTAAAATCAATGCAGTTTAAGTTTTAAATTAAGAAATAGGTTTTGAAGACCAACTCTACACTACACTTATATTTTTTTATATTTCCGAAGCCTCAAATTGTATGTGGTTAGGCCAAGTATAATTCAATTGTTCAAAACATGGACTGAATACAAAGAAGGAGAAAACTTCAATGATTCACACAAGTGCATGCATATGTATTTGTGTCAATAAGTGGTTGAAAAACCTACAATGTATTTCAAAGGAGGGTTTGTTTACACACATGTACAAATGATACTTTCGCACAATTTATATCAACTAACCGAATTGCCAAGTCAGCAAACGTGTGAACCAATAAACTTTGACAAAGAAAACAATGTTTGTCCATGCTGCATGCTGGAAATTATTACCTGATAAATCAAAACATAAATAGTTTTATCTTATAATCAAATAATATTTAAGTTACTTATATTCATTGTATTAAATTTTATTGGAACTACTACTAAATAACAACATCTTATATCTGTCCAAGCGTTTGTGATCTCACCAAACAAAATTTAAATGTATTAAAGATCGAAACACAATACAATATAAATACAACACTTAAAGTTTGTTTTCATAATCTTTACGAAACTTAATCTTAAACTCACGAATAACAAGACGAACGAGTATTAAATTACGACACTGCCGTAACAATAGTTTATTCAAGAAATCTATCATCGAAATTGTTAAGGTGTTTCCCCACCGTAACGGTAATGAATCACAGTTGTTGCATGACGCAAATATTTTGGTAACTATCTGATCTAATTTAAATCAATACCACCGAATATTAGATCACGTACAATTTACCAATTTCAGGCACGATTCATGGTGACAAATTATGCTTACAAATAGTCTGCAACACGGACTATTTTCGTTTTCACTCACAATAACAGCATTGAGTAAATCTATTGTTATGCATGATCATATTTTGTAACTTTTATTCGTGATATGTTTCTATAACCTACGGTTCAGTTTGCAAAATGATTACCCGCGCTGATTATGTCAGAGAAATGGAATCATATATAAATTTTAAATATGCTTATTTCACGAGTAAAACTTTTAACGAACCTTAGCTCAATTAAAAGTTATGTGCTCAATTCAATTAAAATTTTAGTATACATACGTATAAAGTTGCTCATATTCATTAGAATGACAGACAGACGTCCTACTTTGGGCTACGGGATTCATTGTTTGTTGCAATATATGTAATTTTTCTCTGTTTATTCAAATATCTTACACAAATTTAATATGATCCGGTTGAAATAAACTTTATATAAATCATTGAGCTTATTGTATGTAAATATGTCACGACGATAAAAGTCATTGGGGGCGACGTCAACATTTGTTTTATCAGGAAAACTTTTAAAAATATTACCAAGTTCACAATGCAAAATGGGTCAATATCAACCAATACCAACCGGTCGTCGTTTTTTGCGAAAAGGATTTAATTTGCATTTTTTTAACTACGGACTGTTTGGTTTATGTTCAGATAACTAATATAACAAAATTCCAAAAATAACAAAATAATTCGGATATAAGTACCTAAGCTAAACGCTCTAACATGAAAAACACACATTGTTCACTCTTAACTCGTGTATTAGAACTTAAGTGTATTATTTAATATTTTTTTTTATCAAATCTAATTGATATCATACATGAATATTTTATGGAAAAGTAATTATATCGTCACTAAAAATCTGATCAGTCTAAAACTTTTAAAGTAAAATAAAGACAGTATGAGTTAAACTTTGTACGAGCGAAACTGTTGTTACCTAGTAAAACGTTTACAGTATTGATACGGATTTTTTTACCAATTTTGCATTCATTTTAAGCAAAATAGGTAACTTTTAATAAAATAATAATATACATCGGTATAATGACACTTTTATACGTTTATATGAATTCACTAGCTAATTTAATACACTAGAAGGAATCTATCATTAATAAGGAGAATTATTGAAATAAGCCTAATCTTCTTATAAGAATATATGTAAGTTTCAATTTTAAGAATTTACATAATAAATAAAAAATATATTTAGCTAAAGTAAACCCAATGCTATTTTTTAATTATGCTAATGCTATTATTATATACAATATCAATGTTAATTTTATATCTACTATTTGTATTTTTCTGTGGTACTTAATTTTCCCGTACACAACAACGTAGTTAGTGGTGAGAAATAAGTATGTAACGATATCTCTATTTATATAATATTTTATAGTCTTCACCGCCTTTATTCATAACATATAGTTGTATTTTATCGAGATATTACTTACTGTGTTCGATGCATGTGCTTTCTCTCCTTTTTATGTTATGTTACGCCGCTACAGATATTTAAACGTTATGTTTGTTAAAATGTTGTGTGTCTCATCTTTTATCTGTTATAAAATAATATTTTATTGAAAATGTAATTTAAAACCAAAGTTCTCATCAGAAAATTCCCGGTTAAATATCATTTCGCCACGCTGAAGCCGTACTTTTGGTTAAGGCTATTAGGTTATTTAACAAATATTTCGAAATAATAAATAATATTGAGAATTGTTAGCGTATATCAGGTTTCATTTTTATTACAGGTTTGATTTAAAGTAGGTACCTATACATTTAAGTAAATATATATATGAAAAAATTGTGTTGGTGTATTTAAAAAATTGTTAAGGATATAATTTAGGTTCATTGGGTACACGTAGCTTTATAACCGTGTTTTGTCCTGTTTTCGTCGCTCTTACCCGCTTGTCCGCTTTTAGACATGCCACAGACTAGCGAATTGCGACTTTCACCGTCCATGCCGCCCGCAGTCATCTCAAAGGACTACAATTTATGTACTTCTCCTGGCTGCATACATACAGGTGAGATATTTGACCTCTCTTTAAACAAAGCAAAATACGCTTCTCCTTCGTGTGCATGATTGTTCGCATACATTACCAAATCGCATGTAATTATTAAACAGCTCTATTTAAGTATGTTGAATATATTTTAGTAATAATTACGGCAATTTATATTCAAAAATACCTCAATTATAATTAGAAAAAAATATTTGTTACTTTGATAAGTGTGCGAATCTTATCTTAATCTTTGATAATGACATTAAATGTTAATTAATTATTTACATATAATACAAAAAAAAAATCGCATCGAAAGAGCACTTGTTAAAATTTAATTCCCAAGAAAACAATGACTCATTATTTAACAAAACGCCAACTTCATCACATATTAGTCTTAAACTCATTAAACACGGCAATTCTAACAGCTATTGTGTGTTTTAAATGTTCTTTGTTTGTATGCAATTGTAGCCATCTAACAGACGTAAATGTAATTGTGGTTACCAATCGCATATTACACAATAATACTTATGATTAATAAACAAGAAACGAAATATGATGATTGATGAAGCTATTCTTAAATAGTTGGACTTAATGTACGAAATTTGTTAAACTTAATTCTTATAAAAGATAATTTCGTTTCCAAGCGAAGGTGATCTCTAGCTTCTATAATAAATTCTTGAGGAGCTATGTACGGAGAAATTCACAATAGTTAGGTACAAAAAAATATTGTAGATTTCCTATGGGACAAAATTATGATGCACGTTTTTGCACACAGCATCTAAGCTACTAATCAATATGGACGACAAAACGGATCCTTGCGACGATTTCTACGATTTTGCCTGCGGTTCATTCGTGAAGAATACAAGGATTCCTGACGACAAAACTTCGGTGAATACCTTCTCCATCATCACTGATCAGCTTCAAGAACAAATACGGGCCTTACTCGATGAACCCATCTCTGAAAATGAACCACGACCATTCGTTTTAGCAAAAACTTTGTACCAGGCTTGCATGAACAGAAGTAAGTATGATTTGTTATGTCACAAAATTTTTAAATCTATATTCATTTCTGCAAGTTAATTGCAAAGAAAATTTTAAGTTTGAAAGGAATATAAAAAACGTTGTGACGAAGATAGAATTTTACCAAATTCCGCTTTCTTTTAGTTTTAGTTTTTCAATAATTTTTAATTGATAGAAAAAAAATATCTGAAACAATTTCTAATGCTTTGTGACAAAAAACTATATTGGCTTTAGTTCTTACTAATACAATTTATTCAGAATTTCAACCACAATACCATGTTTTAAAAGTCGAAACACCCGTAGTTTTTAGTGTTCTGATAACATTAAATGAAATCTGTGGATTTTGATGGTCTCAAAATAATAATAATATATATGATCCAACATATTATTAAACATATCAATTTTGCACTGGTGAAAGTAAGCCAGTAACCTGACTTCCGTTGTTTACACAACTTGTGATGTAAGTAAGTAATGTTACTACGAGTAGAGCCAGTAGTTACATTCACTACATAAAATTTTAATCAATCGTAAACGATGAATGAAAAAAATCATTTACATTGTTGTTTTTCTAAAAATGTGTTACGTATAGAATTGTAAATATTTTGTTAAGTATCATATGACTTTCGATATGACTGCATCGGAGCCGGAAAAGAGTAGTTATGTACTAAGTAAGATGATGTTGGTATATAATTGTTTCAATCACATCTTTATTAACGCTGATGATTTTCACTGTGAGAAATAAATATAATAAGACTAAAGTTAATGCATTTGATCGTAATAACGTGAGGTTTCCATCAACATTTTTAATTTTGTGTTCATCCATAGCTGCTATTGAGGCCAGAGGTGTCCAACCCTTACTCGACATGCTTCGTCGCCTCGGAGGTTGGCCAGTACTACAAGGTGATACCTGGAATGAGAACTCTTTCTCCTGGGAGGAATCCGTATACCGCTTCAGAGAAGCTGGTTACTCCGTGGACTACTTCCTCGATTTCTCTATCAGCGTTGATGTGAAGAACTCAACCAAGCGAATCATTGATGCAAGTGGTTTCTATGCAATTTCAATGCTTACCTTGAATATTGATAATTATTATTAGATTCTAATCTAACTTTAAAAATAGCTCTCATGCTATTATTTTTCTTTTTATTTAACAATGTAGATATGTAATAGAAACTCTATATACTTTATAAACTTCAATATTCAATCGATTTATCATTATGAACTCATTATTTACTTGCAGTTGGATCAAGCTTCCTTGGGCTTAAGCCGGGAATACTTAAATCGCGGTTTTAGCGATAAGCTGGTGCAGGCCTACTATGAATATATGGTTGATATCGCCACTCTGTTAGGAGCTGAACGAGCCAAGGCCGAAGTTGAACTTAAAGAATCTCTACAGTTCGAAATGAAACTTGCTAATGTATGTGAATAATTACTATCATTACTATGAATATTACATTATCATCAATATTTATTGTATATTTAGGGTATTTAATTTTGCCTGATAAGTCTTTACGCAAACAGGAGGAGTTGAACGGGAGTGTATTTCTAAAAATGTAGTAGTTGGAACAGTACACCTAAAGGGGCCCCAGTAACTGTTACAGTATTAATAGGCCCACAAAAAATAAATTTATGACACCTCTTAGTTGTAAAACTATTACGGTCTCTGGCATTGTGAAAAAAGTAACATTTTTTTTAGTATAACTGTTACGAGATAAAAGATATTCTGAATACTGTCCGCTTTTATTTATGATAACCAGGATTAGTTTAATCGTTTCTTAAATTTAACATAGCAATATTTATTTGAAGTAAACTAAAGTCTCTATTTTATTAGAATATAATAACCACAATACTCTCTAGTAGTTTTTTCGTTTCTTATGATGTATAAAATCAAAATAAGCTTCTGAATATTTAATTGAAAAAATTTAGATGAAATACATAATTTATATAGTAGCAAGGCAGAACAATTTCTTTTTTCTGATAAAACTTATTGAAAAGTAAGAACAGAGCTATAATTAAATTAACAAACGGTTTTAGTTGTGTGTCAATTTATATTTGTTCCGCTTTTCTTAAATAATTTATAACTGTTAAGAGAAGATTAAATTTATAACATTAAATAAAATTAACAATTTATATGTCGTACAAATGAAATTTAATAGGTAACATGTGTAATAGGTGCATCTAAATTTAAAGCCCATCAAATGCCCGTCAAACAAAGCGAATTAAAAAAAATTGATTAAAAAACGTGTACGGATTTTTATTCCTTAATCAATTATTTCAGATATCCTTGCCATTAGAAAAGAGACGTAACGCCACCAGTCTTTACAATCCGATGACCATTGCTGAACTGCAACAAAAGTTTCCCAGGTACACATAATAAAAAGGAGTGATTTAAATTGATAATATTGTTTATTGTTATGGTTATAATGGTCGAAGTATTGATCTTAGAGGAGTTTCGAAAACGTGTTGACTCTTTCAATCAACGTTATACAATTAAGTATTTAAAACAGTACAAAAAATACACAAATGAGGAATAATATTCTTTATTTTATATTTCTTTATACATATTATATGTATGGCTATGTTTCACAGACTGCTAATAAATCATGAACGTGTAATAACTTAAATAAAGTACTTGTCCAACTGCAGTCAAGCATAAAATAGATGCTTAGATCGTATACAGGAAATGGAAAAATTACTGCACTACGAAGCCAGTTAAGAAGGAAAAAATTATTTTAATTTAAAATCTCTGTTTTCAAGGATCCCATGGCTGGCATACATCAACCGACTCCTGTCGCCACACGTACAAGTGGGCTTAGACGAAGTAGCCATCGTCAACGTCCCTAAATATATAACTGATCTTGAGGTGATTATTATATTAAATCTGATATTACTTATACTTTTTTGTGTTAGTGTGTTCATATTTAATTTATCTGCCAAAAGATATCTAGATCAGTACCTATTTCGTTCTATAACGCCATCAATATGTTTGTAACTAAATGCATTACTGAAATAATTGATATTACCTATACTATACATACAACGTCGAGAAATATAAATATTATGGTCCTTATCATACGTTTATAATTTTTAATAAACAAATGAAGCGTGTGAAATATAACACAGCTTGTTATATGGTTATTGTTTACGGTGGTTAATATGGCAGTTGTTTTAACTAAACTGTCGCATATATCTTTAAAATAAACATTAAAGGAGACATTATTGGATACTTAAAACCATTGCTCATGTATGTTATCAAATGAAATGTGCTCGTTTCGCAGGACCTGTTAGAGAAGACTCCGAAGCGTGTGCAAGCTAACTACGTGATGTGGCGAGTGGCTGGAGCATCTGTCTCCTACTTGACAGAAGATCTGCGTCGAAGGCAACTAGCTTACGTCACTGCACTCTCTGGGAAAACTGAGAGAGAGAGCCGTTGGAAGGAGTGCGCTGATACCACCAGTGTTAGGTAGCAGATATCTGTCTTTTAAAAACTAAAACTACCTATACAGAAAATATAAACATAGAAGGTCCAAAGATACCAGTGCTCTAGGTTCTTAGATCTGCGGTCGAATGTATATGCGTGATATGTATGATGAACGTACTTGGGCCTGGTTTTTCTTTATATATACAATAAACATGCACATAATAAAGACATTTGTAACACAAGGGGTAAGGCGAATATGATAAATATGTATTGACAAAGGAAGAACCTTCACCTTACCAAAAAATATTCTGAAATATGTACCCGTTGTAACAACTTTGTTATTAATTTTCCATATCATTTATGTATCTATTATAGAGACTTTGAATATTGTGATTGGATATAATGCAGTCAATTTAAAGTTTTATTTTTAATTTTTTTTAGAATTTAATTTCATTGATAGATGATACTGTTCTATTTCATATTTAAGTAGCAATGTTTTTTAATATGCTAAATAAATGCATTATTAAAAAAGCACCCCTTTATGTATTACTTGTAATGCATAGCTTGAATATTAAATTTTATTTACAGTATGTCCATCGCTGTAGGAGCTTTGTACATAAGAAAATATTTCAACGAAAACTCCAAGTCCAACGCTTTGGAAATGGTGAATGATATCAGGTGAGAATATTATATTACTGAAAATATTAAAAACATAAACATAGTGCATATTCTAAAATCTAAACTACTCGTATCATACCGTTCTGTAAAGAGCAGAGATTAGACTTGTATATCCGTATTACATGTCTGCCGACTCATTCGTCCTGAAAATTTTTATAATCATTAAAAATATAACCATTTAAAACTTTTTGCATTTTGCATTTAATAAAGTTTTTAAATATTTTAATATGTAATACAGACAACAATTCCGTAAGACTCTGGAGACTGTTGATTGGATGGATGAAAAGACTCGTCATGAAGCTTTAGAGAAAGCAGACGCTATGGCCTCACACATCGCGTATCCCAGTGAGATGCTTGACAACAATAAACTCACCGAATTCTACTCTGGGGTATGTAATTGAAAGGCACATTTATATGAATGCTTTCCTCTCTAAAATTAAGTGTCTAAGCCAAGGAAATATTATTAAAATATTTGTAGACAATTAAAGATTCTGAAATTTTTAATAGTTTATTGCTGTTCCTCAGAGTCAAAAGGAAGACATGTATTTTATAATAATTTTATTCATAGCTGGAGATGTCGTCTGACAAGCTGATGGAGTCTGTCCTGAATCTCACGCTTTTCGGAACTGAATATTTGTTTGGCAAACTTCGGGAGCCCGTCAACAAGACCGATTGGGTGACACACGGCCGACCTGCCATCGTCAACGCTTTCTATTCTTCTATTGAAAACAGTATTCGTAAGTTTTTTTTCAGTATGCAATAAACATTATCTACTCTTGCATATTCCCTATTTCATTGTATTTTTTTAATATTCAGAGTTCCCGGCCGGTATTCTCCAAGGCGCATTCTTTTCCGCAAACCGTCCCGCTTATATGAATTACGGTGCTATTGGATTCGTTATCGGTCACGAAATTACACATGGATTTGATGACCAGGTATGATTACAAAAAAAATAAACATTTTATTAACTTACTTTTAATAATTATGAATAGAATAACACGTACTTTTCCCAGTTACTTAATGAAAACTTTTTCAGGGCCGTCAATTCGACAAAAATGGTAACTTGGTTGACTGGTGGCAAGAAACTACCAAACAAAAATATTTGGAAAAAGCAAAATGTATTATAGACCAATATTTCAACTATACTGTAAAGGAAGTGAATATGAAGGTAAGGACACGAATTTTTTTTAATAATCCTCATGTTTTAAAATAATGTGTTATAAATTGTCAAAATAATGTCTAGCTGAACGGAGTGAATACACAAGGAGAAAACATTGCTGATAACGGAGGAATCAAAGAAGCGTATTACGCATATCAAGCTTGGACACAAAGACACGGAGAAGAAGCGCGTTTACCAGGTCTAGAAAAGTATAGTGCACGCCAGGTAAGACTGCTATGGACATTTAAAAATATATATAAACAAACATTTAGATAATATCAATAATTATGAACTATTTATGAATTGAAGCGAATTATACATCTTTTCGACTTGACTTTTGGTAATACTTTTGCTTGTGACAGTCTATTAATCAAATTATATATAACAAAACGTGTAAAATATAAACGTTAGCTTCGAGTCATAAACAAAGGACTAGAGTAGGCAGCATAATTTGTTTTTTATTGAGTTTCCACACTCAGTTACGTTGTTTATTTTTTTATATGTCTCTTCCACTGTTTATTTTTTATATGTCTCTTCATCATTTTAAGGCTACTAAAGGTGTAATAAATTACTATTAATCACCTTTTACTTGATAAAACAACACAACTAAATATAATCTTATTATAAAAAATAAAGAATATTTGTAACAAAATGTTAACAATTTTTAAAATTAACATTATAATATAGAATTATTTGTTTAAGTCAGTACTAACTTTAAAGCTATAATATGATTGTTATGAAAAATATATTATTTGCACGTAGGACGGTTAACCATTATTGTGACCTTACGGTACTTAAAATTGACAAAAGGAGCACCTTCGTACGAACAAGTAAAACGCCCTTTCTCAATATTAACCTCTTTTAATATTATCAACTTGGGATATTATTATTCGGTGCATTTATTTAATCAAATTATTCCTTTTAACTGTAATTGAACAGTAGGTAATAGAAAAATTGTTTGTGAGATAAACAGACATCTTAAAAATTTTAAATTATGTATCAATATGAAATCGAGCAAACCTTTTTATTTTAATATAAATGAAATTTAAAACAAAATTAAAATTTACTAAATGATGTAATTAAAATTTATTTACATTCGATGATTATTATATATTAACAAAGATTTTTGAAAGAAATACTTTAGCTTTGATAGTTTATAAAAATAGTTGTTCTGTTTTGTTTTTGTATATCAAACATTTATTAATTGATTATTTTTTCTAGTTGTTCTGGATGAGCGCAGCCAATACTTGGTGCTCAGTTTACCGTAATGAGGCTATCAAACTCCGCATAACTACTGGTTTCCACGCGCCCGGTCGCTTCCGTGTTATAGGCCCCATGTCTAATATGGAAGAATTTGCGGCAGACTTCAAGTGCCCGGCCGGTTCACCGATGAATCCAGTCAAAAAGTGCAAAGTGTGGTAAATGAGCTCGATAAAGAAAGACCTCTCTGCCCATCGATAGATGAAATCGGACTCCACAAAACTACCACCGCGCACAGAACTGAGTTTCTTTAATATCACAACTCTAAAGTTGGTCCAGAATGAATACGGGTCCGGCACTAATAGTGCATTGATGGATGTAGGATATTTGTCATTTTTGATGTTGTATATAACTCACTGTGTTTTAGATGCATTTTATATCTCAATCAATTTTTATTATTATTCTGCATTAGTGAGAATATTGACTGTTAAAATGATGTCTCAAAACAAATTTTGCTTGGCAATTAGTAGAGCTTGTATATTATACAAGTACAGGTTTTTATTTAAATGTTATTATTCTAAGAGCTCGAATTTATTTATAGTTAATTAGACATGAATTAGATAGATTTTGTGTATAGATCTAATGCTATAATGAAAATGGTCTTGCTTTTTCATTTTAAAAACAGATTAAAGGAATCTATGGGAAATACAATACTAAGTTAAATTAATTGATCATTTAACTTAATGAAATGATGGTAACATTGAAAATGTAATTCTATAAAACGGGATTTTACTCTGTAACATCACCCTCCATATTTTCATATTGAGTAAGGGTCAAAGCACAAGTAAAAAGTGTTTTAAAACTTCATTTTAAATTTCATAAATCCGTAGAGCCTACATCTTTTTTTAAAAGGAAACAGTGATAATTTTATTTTAGATTAAGTACTTAGGTAAGTAACACTTTTGGATACAATCTTATTGTTGTAAAAAGAAAACACCAATTATAAGACGATTTTTATCGTAATTATTGTTTTATTCAAAACCTTGTACTTACCAATATATGTATAAATAACACCCGACCATTCCCATAGCAACAGGAAAGTAAATTTTTTTTTATATTTTTCTATTTAACCTTAGTCGCGAAAATTTTACACATTTAAATAGGAACGATTACTTTTATTATATGTTATCGGACTCAACGTTGGCATGTTGTCTTTCCGAATATAAGGTTCCGAATTTTCCGAAGAGAGATTTTTTTGTTACTAGTAACATAAACTCCAAAAGAAAAGTTGGAGGTGAAAGCAGTAGTAAGTAATCCTTTATGCAAAACTTTGACGGTAGAAAATTATTTTCCTACTTGTTCCTTCCCCATTTGGTACAAATTAAGAGACGAAACCTCTTAGCATTCAATGGATTCACCGTGCGGGTGCCGGGTCCATCGCGTTGCAGGCAGAGGAGCTTCAACAGTGCCTGGGACTTGCGACCCAGGTGTAGGTATTTGTTTTTTTATAATGAATTTAAAAATGATCTAAGTACCAAGAATGGCAGTGGTGTTATGATTAGCCACTAAACTGCTGTTATATTTATGGCCGATGAAGAGACGAATAGTATAGGGATATATAGAGAGTGGAGTAATTAATAAAACGAAAATAATAGTACAATATATATATTATGATTTTACTGTACATTAATTTACATATACAAAAGATTTTTTATTTTTATTTATTTATAATACTAGAGCCGTAGTTAACGAGTTTATTTTAAATTAAAAATCCATCATGAATGCACCAATTTAGAAGGTCGCATACAAACAAACATAACCATTATGAAGTCAATTATATGGAATTTACTTATAAAATTAATTAAAAAAAATATTTACTAGGTATATCATTTATCATCACAAAGTAAAGAGCGATTTCTTCAATTAAAAGAAAAAGAGCATTAACAATATAATATTTTGTATCCCATATGTACATATCAACAAACCACAACCTAAAAAACATACAGTTAAACAAAATTGTTAATTATGACGTTTTTTTATTTGAAGGCTTTATATTTATATGTGTATATAAAAATTATATAACAGGGAATAATAATAGCTCTTTAAAATCCGTCTTTCTGCTAACACATCAAACATATAAATTAAAACTGTGAGCTTACTGCTAGCTACACATAACATTTCAACAATAGCTTGAACAGTGGTTGCTTGAACAGTGGTAAAAGTTTCAAAGCAATATTAAAGATCAAGGCTACACACTCAACATGGAAATGACGACAGGAACCAGGAAGAATTCCCACAAAATCCAATTCAGAAGCTCGCATTATAAGTACATAGGCTAAGGTGTTACAAGAACAGATACATAAACCCAAAAACGATGACGGAATGTTTCCTGCTAATGAAAACAATTTTAGTAATTTACACAAACAACCCAATTGGAAATCACGTCAAATTTATCAATTATAAAATTACTGAAACAACATATTTCACGTATAACACAAAATAATTACTACAACCTAAACAGATATATTCTAGTACGAAAAAAATATACGATTTTATTACTATTACAATAACTTTCATACTGGCAAATTCTCATTATACCTACTTCACATTTTTCCCAATATAGATCCCATTTACTTGTCTTCCCACCATATATTTGCCCCCAACATCGATAAAATTTACTGTACCCACATAGATCATAAGAAAGCTTTGATGCAGTCCAACGAGCCTTCTAGATACAACTATAAAATATATCCAAAAATAATAAGCACCCTTATTCAGTCTTCTCCACAAATTACAAGCTGGATTTACGAAGGTTGATTAACAACTTTCCCAATACAAAACCAATTATTTGCCTTCCCAAAAATACTACATACTAACAGCGATAGAATTTACAATGTGCCCCCATAGATTACAAAATGCTTTTGTTGGAGTCAATCAAAACATATATTAGCCACACTGAATACCTTATAGTAGTTATCTCAACAACTGAAAAGATACATAATAACATTACAGACACAATAACAACTATAATATCGACAGATATAAAAAATATTTTTTTTACAGGATCCTCATAGAATTGGATCACACCTACAAGATAAAACCTTATTGCACAATAGAAACGGAGAATTACCGCAATATGTAAAACACAAACCGTCTGAACTTAACTTAGTACTTGATTAAAACTTTAAATACCTACCCGATTATACCCAATATATCCCTAACATACAACAAATAAAACAAACTACACACACCATGTAATACCAAATAAAAGAAACAATACCTAACGTCCACAACAGAAAGATTCTCCACCAAACATCTAAAAGGAATGAGACACCTAATATACGAACTGTCTCTACGCCAGCTTGATGAACAACATGACATGAATATGGAGGCCTGAGAAAGAATGACGACACCCGAAAAATAATAGCATCCAAAAACAGTGTCAAAAACAGTATTTCATTCCCTGAAACTGAAAGGTTTGCTATGACAATAGTAGATCAGATCTTCGATAGATACCCCATGGTATAAAACACATAACACGTGTTAAAAAAAGGAAATATTATTTCCTTTTGCTCATACAAAAGGAAACCTGCGTTAATATGTTTTTAACATTAAACTAGAATAAATACAATGAAAAAGTCGTGGACCCGAGCAGGTTTAGAACCTTCAATCTCCTGAATATCGCCTTCCAGGTAGTTAGCAACACAAAAGCGATAAGAAATTTCGTAGGTTGCAATCGCGAATCCTGTTCAAGTCGATGATTTTTTCATTTTAATGATTAATAATTACACCGATCAACATAATAACCTATCTTGGTTAAGTGGGAACTGGATATGTGAGAAAACCTTCTTAACTGAAAGTCATGCTTAAGTCCCAACACTTTGGCACTGAATAACCTGTTAGTGGGACGAAGGAAACCTCCACATCTGAGATTCGTTCTTTTCGATTCATAGTTATAGTTACCTCTAAAACTAAGACAGTGAGCATTTCATATGCATTAATTATATTATTAATCAAAAGCTAGGCATAAATCTAGGCATAAATATTAATTATCTGAGACGCTGGGTGAATGGAATATCTCTATAAGTGAAACAAATTTGCAGGTCCGACTTAACTAGTACTGTATGTAATTAATATTTTTTTTATAGAATACAAAGTAAGCAGAGATACCGTTACTAATAAACAAAGTCTGCTTTTGTATTTCCATATAATGAAAAATAAATATATTCTGTTTTTGGAGACTTTTTGTGAAGCCATTGCATTTAAGAAAGGGATAAAGGGGTCTAAGGGTGGCAGACTGTCACAGCATAAAGCATTAAAATGACTGTTTAAGATATAAAATATGAAAAACCAGCATGGACAGTGAAAAACCAAGATGATGTTTTAATGTCTCCGCTGAACATAACATTAGGCCTTCTAAAGCAATTTGTGAAGACTACATCAAGATTTTGATCCCCTTTTAAATTGAAAACATTATTCCCGAAAGTGGTAGAGGATAAAATTGAAGCTTTTATATTTGTAGGTCCTCAAATAAAGAAAATAATGGTCAGTGAGGAATTCCTACAACGTTTGAGCACCCACGACAAACAAGCATAGCTCACTCTTAAAGCAGTGGTCCATAGTTTTCTTGGAGAATTACAAGCAGCTTATTTCTAATCTAAATAAAAGCTTCAGTCAAGTCAAGCCAACTTTAAGTTGTACAATGTCTCTTTAAAGTAGACATGCTAAATGCTCACTTAAATATATTTAGAGATAACTTGGATGCATATTCTTCCGAATAATCCAGCCTTTCTGAGAAAGCAGAACTTTTCCACTAACATGTACTGTACTTTAAGGAATGGTATCAATATAATGAGAATGCTCTGACTACTGCTAGTTTTTAAACTTTTACTTTGTATACTTTTATTTGTATAACAAATATATAATTCAAAATTTGGTTTTCTTTTAATATTTCTGAAATAAAACAAAAGTGCTTATTAAAAAAAAATCAAATTTTATTCCGGTACCTTATAAAAGCAAACTTTATCAGATAAAAATATTTATTCTTTAAAATAAAAGAATACACAACTCACAATTCAAAATGTATATTGACTGGTGTTATACAATCATATAAAATCTAAAGTACAAGTTACAGTTATCTCACATCTAAATACAAATCAAGGTAGTGCTTCCTTAACAGAATAATAATTACCCTTTAATGACTTATCAACTAAAACATTTAAATTCAGTTCAAACCTAATACTATTATGCCCATAGAATACAATTTGATTGAGATTATAAATGTAATGAAAATTTTTTTAACATAGATAGAACTCTGACACTAAATTATATTTAAAGATATTTAACTGTGTAACTCTTTTCATTGATTTTTATATATGACAAGCAGTCTTCTTATTAACTATTAAACATATTTGTCTTATTTAATTTCTTTATTCACAAAAAAACTTTCTTAGGTTCTGTTATCTTGAGATAAAGAAGTTCAAAGTTCCCGTTATGTGAAGGTATTCCATATTATGATTGTGAACAATTCGGATCCATCCCAATGAATCCCAAATCCAAATTTCAAACAGATCTTGTAATTTTTAAATGATAAGCAACAACATGACAATTAATTTCTATATAACTTCTACAATGCCTCACCATTGATTGGTTTTCTATTTAACATAATAATGTTTCGACTTCAGTTTTCAGTATTTGGATATGTCTGAATCATCTAATGTCTTTAACCTCCACCGCAACTCATTAGATATATCGTGTAAAATTAACATAATTATTATTTCTAATCTTTGTTGTGTTGTTATATTAAGATTATTTTTTTTACTTTTACGTATCCGTGAAAATAATCCATCGTAAAAGGAGACAATGTACACAATTGATGAGAATTAATGATCTTAAACATATTTACTTCATGTATTATTGAAATTCTTATTCAGCTTCTCATTTCTTATTTTTAGTCCTATGTCATCTAGATGAGGCAGAGGGCGTCCATAGTTCGCGGCTGTCCCGTTCGGTATTGAGCTTCTGGGTATCGGTATTGAGATCTACGTAGAGCGGCCGCATTTTCGCTTTTCTTGGGGAGTCCAGTCCAGAAAGTACGCATTTCAGTAGGCAGAATCACTTAACATTCTCTCTTGTCTTCAATTCACTGGTACCTGAAAATTTGAAAATACACGATTTAAACATTATGTAACTCTCAATATACTACCTCCTAATGAAATCAAGAACTTTACATAGATGTCACATAGATATATTGTTTCGTAATATTTCATAAGTATTTTTGTTGTACATATTTAACTATTAAACTTACGAGAGTGGTGGTAGCAAAGTAAGGTAATCCGTCGTTAGCACCTACTCTTCAAGTACTTCGTTTGACTTGAAAGTCTTCTTGATTAGCCTGGAAATGTAAAAAATATTGGTTAGTCACCAAATATGTGTATTATAAATTCTAAATATAAAGCTACACCACATATATGTAAAGTAATAGCGCACTAACATTTCCATCGTAGTGTAAATCACTGGAGAGTAGCCAGACGGGCGGGTCGAGCCTCATAGCGCTCTCGGGCACGCCGTCCGGGAGACACGCCACTCCACCGATGGCCAGGCTGCCGTCCCAGCTGGAGTCGATCTTGTCAACACGGAACTGTTCAACGGAACGTATAGCGAATATTAATACTGATCTTCATTACATATTAGATATAGAGCTAAATACAAATCACTGGCTTAAATGTTCACATTTATATTTAAAACGAAATTTTTATCACTTCGCTAGAAGTATTCCTTAATTTTTTTGCATATCGCATTACAGCAGCTTGCGAGGCGGCAGTAAAAAGAAATTCATCGATTGATTACCAAATAATACATTGCTTCGCCAATAGATTTGAAAGAAAAGAATAATGAGCATCAATTTTTTTTCTATTTAGATAAATAGTTTGTGAAGTGCTATCAGAACTACACTGGTGTTATTGTATTATATTGAACATATACATATGTACATATATTATAGTTTCTTTTCAAATCGCTCAGTAGTTTTACATTAAAGAGTAACTAACATCCACACATATGTTTGCTTTTCTAAGTAACAACATTCCACTTTTATTGTGATTTTATAAAATCTGACCGTACTTCTTGTTTATAATAATAACCTAAGCACTTCTGTTTTGAACGATTATACAGGTTTGAGACATTTATATGACATTGAGGCAACAATCAGTAATCTTCTTCTTCTATACAGGGTGACTGGTGAATTACTATCAATACTTAAGGACGTGATATTTGACGATCATATATGACAAAATAAAAATTATTATAACATAAATATTAATAAACTTCTAAGTAAAGTTAACCAAAAGTTATGTAATTAATTACGCATCGTATGAACACCCTACAGATTAGGTATACACTCACACTCACACATACGCGAGCGGGGCGTGGTGTTGTATCAGCACGCAGCCGCACGCGTCCACACTTGGAACACTTGGAACGTGTCAACACTTTATTTATTTATACGGAAATTTGGTCAAAAATTAGGTACCTATTTTTTTTACATAATTCGAATGAGAATCATGTACCGAGTATGCTCCTTAAATATTGATAGTAATTCACCAGTCACCCTGTATATATAAAAATGGATTGCTGTTCCTTAGTCTCGCTAAAACTCGAGAACAGCTGAACGGATTTATCTTATCTTAGTCTTGAAATGTTCGTGGAGGTTCAGGGAAGGTATAAAAGCTGAAAAAAATTGATTCATTACTGGGAAAACCATAAAAACAGCCCTTTTCTATTTCCCATACAAACTTTTTTTTTTGACATTAGATTTGTCAACTAACTAATATGTCAATCATTCTGTCGCACTTCAAAACACGGAGATTTATGGCTTACAGGTAAACTCCAAAAATATAAATAAAAAAAAGTAATAGATATTTCTTGATTATAGGGCGATACGAAGTTCGCCAGGTCTTCTAGTAGGATATAAATATATTGAGCAACTATTAAAATAATTAAAATATTGAGATTAAAAAACGTGCTTTTGAGAAAAAAACAACATCACATATAAAAAATCTATTGTAGATGTTAAGTGATTTCAGATGAGATCGGCAGCGGCTAGGGATGGCGATAAGTTAGTTTTATATACAGAAAATTTTAATCAGGATGTAAATAAAACCATATTAAGAATTGAGTGACAGAAAACTTGCGATTAAATTTTGTAAATTATGACTCGGGTTATATATGCAGCTTCAGAATAAAGCCACATAATCTTATTTTGTAGGGAATGCAACAGTAACCCATCGTTAGACATTCGAGAAGTATGGAAACTTGCGTCATTGTCCAATTAATGACTATCTCCTGTCGTACATGTAGTCCAGAATTTACGGGAAAACGAATCAAGCGGACGGTGAACTAAAATCAAGAGGAAAGTTTTGTTCATTACGCTTAGCGATAATCGAATTATTTCTTTAAAAAATGCTGCAATATACTTTTTGAAATGTAATTTATCTATTAGAATGTGCATTTATTTTTGTTTAGTACGACAAAAGCAAATTAGATGTAATTTAAAAAAATCCATTATATTAATTAAGACGAGTTTAAACTCCGCAATTCAGAGATTTATTTGTCGTCAAATATCTTGTTTGCGTGTTTAGTCAGTCTTGCCCCCCCTCTTCTTATTCTACACATACCTGTTTCTATTCTCAATGAGTACATACAGGGTGACTGGTGAATTACTATCAATATTTAAGGAGCATACTCGGTACATGATTCTCATTCGAATTATGTAAAAAAAATAGGTACCTAATTTTTGACCAAATTTCCGTATAAATAAATAAAGTGTTGACACGTTCCAAGTGTTCCAAGTGTGGACGCGTGCGGCGGCGTGCTGATACAACACTACGCCGCCGCCGCGCGTGTGAGTGTGTGTGTATACCTAATCTGTAGGGTGTTCATACGATGCGTAATTAATTACATAACTTTTGGTTAACTTTACTTAGAAGTTTATTAATATTTATGTTATATTAATTTTTATTTTGTCATATATGATCGTCAAATATCACGTCCTCAAATATCGATAGTAATTCGCCAGTCACCCTGTATATATGTATAATAATTAATAAGTGACCAAAATAAAAATCCGATAGCATCGAAAGCTTATTCCGAAACTGCGGAATTAAAACTGATAAAATACTAAAATTATCACCGGCTCGCTATGCCATATCTTATTTGGTTATAATATATATTAAATACATATGATATAATATCTTTTTGTCATTTTAACGTCTCAATCCTGTATTTAACATGGTAGAATGAAAGATACAATATATTACAAGAAACTTCTATCTAATATTCGACCAAAACAGAAGTCCTTTTAGACAAAAATTGGTGTAAAAAAATAAATTCATTCAAAAACTAATAAAGCCTTACTTACCGCTTGTAAATTTTTCACATTCGCTTTTCTATCGCTGTACTTTCGCTAAGCATTTTCAAGGCCAACACAGCAGTAAACTAAATTCTCAATTAAAATAAGTTAATATTTCGGCATCATTTTATCGACCAAATTTTTAACAAAAATACATTTGCACAGAATAATATTAGCATAGCGCATTAGGAATAACATTCGCATTGCATACTGACCTTCGCATTGCAAATTCAAAACGACAGTCGCGTTGCAAATTCAAAATGACAGTCGCATTGCAAATTCAAAATGACAGTCGCATTGCAAATTCAAAATGACAGTCGCATTGCAAATTCAAAATGACAGTCGCATTGCAAAATTCAAAATGACAGTCGCATTGCAAATTCAAAATGACAGTGGCATTGCAAATTCGAAATGACAGTCGCATTGCAAATTCAAAATTACATTCGCAATGCACATCCCAAATGACATTCGCGTTGCACTTTTGCAATGACATTATTTAAAAAAGATGTATTATTTGGCTAAAGTATTTTATGTCTCAATATAACCAAAATTTTAACAACTTGTTCTATTAGCCAAATGAAAAAGGAATTATTATATCCAATCTCAATAAAAGTTCACAAGTGTCCTATTTTTTTTTTCGGTTAAAGAGCAAAATTAATAAAAAAGAATACTTACTTAAATTAAGAACATTTTTGTTTAAATACCTTCGCATATATTTCGCATAAAGGACAAACATCTACGTTTTAATTTCGCACACATTAATCATCAAGAATTTTAGAATTACAGAATATTTTTTATTCTGTTACGGACTAAACAGTGGTTTTTGGAACGCAAATAAATGAAGCCACGAGTAATAAAATTCAGCAGTTTATTACTCAGTGTAGTAGTGCTAATACAATTAATTATTTCTTTCGCAAAATATATATAAAATAATATTCGCATTGTATATCAAAATATAACACGTTTGTTTAACTGAATAATAAAATAAATATGTTATATTATGTATTCCATAAATAGTTATTTCCCTTGAACCATAATGTCCTAAGAAGAATGAGTTATTTGATGTATACTTCAATTACCATTCGAGTTGCTTTCTAGTTCTTGGAGAGAATCATTTTATGAACCAGTGTCTAGCAGTTTTATAGCAACAACCTGAATACGAAATTCCAGTCACAACAGTTCAATAGTTTTTATATGAATAATAAACAAATAAACATACATTTATATCAAAAATACTTTCTTCTTTTTTTAGTGTCTACACACGATACGAGTGTATCGTAACAACCGGATTTATTGTATATAACAATTGTTATAACTCAGGGCAAGCATCATAGAAACTTGAATTATTATAACCCTGAACATACTTCTGAAAGATCCATTATTCACAGTTCCTATTGTTCCATCAAGCAAAGAAAAATAGGATTAACATTCCTTTTGTCATATTTTTCAGTGTTCATAGTTAATAGAACTTATATCACTAACAAGCACCTTACACACAATAGCTCAGAGCAGTCACTTCATAAATATAGATACTCTTTTGCCCAGTCTACATTCGCATTAAAGATTATTTTATGTAGCTTATATTGCTAATATACATATATATACCATCCCTTCAGAAGTTTTTAAAACAAAGAATAATAAAAAGCCATACAATAGGCGCACTTGGGTGCATAAATATTTATATGTCATTCATACATCACAAATATAATGTGCAGTGTTGGATACATACAATTAATAAGATAGAAAGATAACACGTATGCATGTTGATGGACATAAACAATTTACATACATCATTTGATTATTCCATGATTTATTCCAATGATATCCAATAAAAGTCTTTGCATAATATCCTTTACAACCGGTATTACAAACTTCCCTATTATCATTTAAAATCCTTTCAGTATGTCCACTTAGAATCCATTTAGTAGTTTCTTATTTTTTTAAGAGAAGAAAAACCTTACACTTAATATTTTTATTAAAAACCTAGCAAAATGGAAATTCTAAAAAAAACTGAAGTAAGAAATTATAAAAAAAATATTTACTCAGAAAATATTTCGTTTTTTAAAACAAGCGATTTAAAACTTATTGAAATTGGATATATATAATAAAATTTTCGCATCATAATTAATTTTAATATAAAAATATTATCAATTACAACTGTAAACTTACGCTAGATCATATGTTTCTATAGACGGATGTTGCAATGCTATAACATCTAGACATCTAGAAGGTCAACAAAGGTTTCATTAGATATATGTATGCAGATTTACTGTATTAAATGCAATGCTATGAAAGAAACCATGAATATAAACCATTCATTTAATAAGGAATAAACACTATCAATTAGCAAAGCAAGTGTAATTCAGAATATGCCATTTATAAATTAATAATAAATTTAAATAATTTAATGATTATACCTCAAATACTTAATTTGATATTCCATCTTCAGAAGAAGCCTTGTCTTGTTGATATTGTTTCTTGTTGGTTCTTCATTTTTCATCATCTTCATCTTCATTCAAGTAACTGAATCTGAGCTCTTGTTGTATTCGTCTTCTGAAAAACAAAATTTGTGTAACAATAAAGGCTCTTTTCCCTAGCATTAAAGTTATTACTTTTGATATGTAATTTCTTAATTTGGTTGGATACAATACAGTTTAGTACATTTTAGAAATAGGTTAACGGAAAAATTATATGTATTCTGATAGAATTTATAGTCTATTAGATGATCATAATATACAGAGTGAAAGGTTCTGTTTAACTACTATTAGTTGATTCTAAGAGAAACAGACTTTTTGTGGCTTAAACCATAATATGATAAATAATACTTTATGATAAAGGCATAAAAACATTAGCACATTCAAAACTTCATGTTTTATAATATAAGAAAATTACCATTTAAACTTTGTTAAAATTTTATTTTGTCTTATTAATCATTTTTTTCCTATAATTTTTGTTGAAAACTCTTTCTTCTCCAGTTAAAATTTTAAATAGTATTAACTTCATTAAAGGATATATGAAATAAATATGACACTAGATAATGCTCATGACACCCAATGGTGCTATTAATGTTCTTAGGTATTTCTTATAATATAAGACATTATTAAAATTCATATAGAATCTTAAAGCTTGCTTCATCTTGCTGTTGTTGTTTTGTGTAGATTTATTAAACAATTTAGAATTTTTATAGGAAGTCTATTAGAAATAAAAAAAATAGTTTTGTATGTTCAGAAACATATTTCTTTTAAACCAGTGTTTTCACAATTAAACATTAAAAATTCCAGTCATTTCCACTTCGCATTTTCTACACAAAACCTGTAAGTGGTCCATGAATTTGTAATAAATAGTAATATTGATTTTTACTCAGGTTTGATTTGTCTACAAAATAAGTTAGAATCATTTCACCCTTTCAAAAGCATAGGAACCTTTCTTTGTGTATAAGAGTAACTTTCTTACCTATATTATGCTAAGCAGTAAATTTTACTAATAATCCCTATGAAAATATAGTAACTATGACCTACGGTTTTGTTGAAGAACAAAAATTATATTGTCCCAATGCAGAATAAATCACAATGAACATTTTTAATACAAAGGAATTTTTACACTACATATAGTAAGATGAAATATTTAGTTAATAACCTGTTTGTTTGGTAATATATTTTTAATGGCGCCATTACTTTGTTCAGTTGCAACTATCGACTAGATGAAACGACATAGAATGGAAACATTCTCAACTGTAATCGCAATGAACTGACCTTGTAAGGATGAATTTCGTTTGATGAATTTTACAATCATTTTCTAAATAGGAGATTGGATTTGTCTGGGACGACACTCGAACGGCGAACGAAGGCCTCTAGGGAAAAGGATGACAATTGTAGCAATCAGAATCATTCCAATTAGACCTCTTGAAAGGTGGCGTGTGCAGTTCACTTTTAGACGTATTGAAATTTTTATCGATACTTAATGTTTCGATATATTAATATAAAATTCCAAATATCAAAACAGGATGTCTTTTAGCCTGTAAAACATTTTTATTTATTATTAGGAATGCTGTTTAAAGTAACGTCTTTTCTAAAGCACAATAAGCACATAAATCACAAAGTTTTTTATATCTACATTAAATAAATATTGTTTTTATTTCCGAAAAAATACTAGTTTTTATAGCTTCTTTTAAATCATCAAAATTAAATCTACTTTCTGGTTTTTATTTAGTCATACTGACATATCGATTTACTAAAGTATCTGAATATCGATATTCAAAAAAATATCTATATAATATCTCATTTCCGACAACCCTTTATTCAATGTTATGTTTTTTTTATAAATGTTTTTACGGCTCTGAATACGAGTCCTTTTGAGCCTCAATATAATGATGTATCTATAGTGTTGCCCTTAATCATCATTCATTTTAATGACTAAGTAAATATAAAAAGTTAGAGAGCTAGTATAATATTTTATTTAACTTTATATGCTGTTGTAGTTAGTTTTAAGGATTTGATACAAATGCATTTATTTTAAATATCGGTATTTACATCAACAATAAACGAATGTATATTTATATAGATATCTTGTGTCTAAATATTCTACTATAGGTTTATTAATATTATAATACTCAAGTTGTTTAAAGGAATACATTGTCCCTATAAACGAGACGTTTGGTGGTTTATTCACTGATTACTAAAGACAGATTAAAAGATAAATACATCAATCATTATAATAAAACAAATATTTCGAAATGTAAAATAGTAAACACAAGAAAAATAGTGCTTTAAATTAATATATTCCATTGATATCTGTTCCTTGGAATACCACATCTATAAACATTATTAAAAATAGTTATGAATGCTAGGTATAACAAAATCAATAATTTTTAATAATGTTGTGTGGTAGTATTAATTTGAAATTGTTTACAATATTCATACAATATACGTAAAAATTAAACCTTAGACGATAAGTGTGTACAATTTTCACTTACCTTTAGCACTTGGTACCCGAGAATTAGTCGTCGTTATAAGCTAGCAGATATGTTTAAGTCTACTGTAGAGACGAAACCTCTAGCATTCAATGGATTCACCATGTGGGTGAATGGTCTATCGCGTTGCAGGGCGAGGAGCTTCATCAGAGCCTGGGTCCTGTGACCCAGGTGTAGGTTTAACGGGCCCCTAATATTGTTAATTGTATACGTTCTGTCTATGAGAAAATTAATAAGGTCTGGTCTGACCTATTCTCTATCATTTTATTTAAATTTTTTGAATATACTTAAATCATTAATTAAGTCTTTTATTTCTTAACATAGGTCACAATTCTTTATAAAAAAGCGATGATAAAAGAAAACTCAAAAATAATTTTCAACACTATTTTTATTACATATCATGTGCTTCAAACATCTCGCCCTTGTACGTTATTGAGAAACGTAAAATAAATACAGGGTTGCATGTTTTACAATAATTTTTATAGGTACCTTGTATTACGATACAAGTATTACATTTACTAAATGTAACATCTATGAATGGTAAAATAGAATATAAAATCTAGCGCAAAAAACAGCTGCCAAAATTTAAAAAGAAAAAACATATTATAGAAAATTATTACATAAAAAACATCAGTATTTTGTGTTACTGAGCTAAACAAAAATTGAATCCTGGAGAACTTAAGGTTCTTGATCTACTTTAGCTGCAGTGAAATATATAAAACATTAAAACTATAGTACAAACATAGAAAATATTAATATTGTTCTCATCTGGAAGCTTTATTCGTTGAAATTTAAACAAGCTCGATAAATCTAGAATGAAAATTATGATACCATAATATGGCAAAAAAATGTAATAGGCAGATCACAAAATAATTTTTATGCATTAAAACTAGTTCGGATTCAGCATAGAGTTATAAAGATTTTATAAAGGTTATTATAAGATTATTGAAAAAAGTAACTACATCTCCACTAGTTCTTATGAGGCAAATGTATTTCATTTGAATATTTAAAAATCTGATGATTATTGATGACTAGAATTACAGACCAATGATTAAAACATGTTTTCCAATATTAATATTATTATTCACAACTCCATTCACTGTATTAGTGCTAAGAGAAACAGTAAATTTACTATCTTAGTTTTTCATATAATATGTTATATAGTTTTAAAAACATTGACCCTCCACTTGTTGATTATGTTGCTTAATCAGATATATCATTATAATTTAGTTACTACACTGTATTCTCAAATATTGAAATACATATAAGATATACACAAGTTACTTGTAAAATATATAATATAGATTTTGTTACACAATATTTCTAAGTAACAAAACATCCTGTAACCAATTAAATGTAATGTACCACTAAAAGTAGGAACACTGTAATTATAAAAAGTATAAAATTATACATATATTTAATGATATATTGCATAAAAAAATGTTCAAATAATATGATGACTCAAAGAGGTACAGTCTGAAAATAAATAGTATATTGTAATAAATGTAAAATTATTGACATGTAAATGTTAAAATTGCATATTATGTGATGTATGTTTTATATAACACAAATTGGGAACATAAATTAACAAAATTAAACTAATATCACTATATTCCAATATGAGATCTAAAGAGTGTTAGCATGCACACTAAATACTGTTAGGTGACATTATAGTACAAGTTTAAAAGTTATTGAACTTTCTCCTAAGGTTCAGCAGAATCTATCTTCATGTATTAAAAAACGTAGTTGTTGAATTGAATGATGCATTTTCATTTAAAATAAATTAGAAACATATATCATATATCTAGATTACATTACTTCTATTTCATTATTTTATTCTTTGGAATATCAAAGTCAAAGAATAGAAAACATTGTTATAATAGAATTTTACAATATTTTATATACTTTAATTTTTAAAACACGCCACAATGTATAAATTAAAATTTTAGGATAGGTACAATTAAAATTTTAGGATATCTACATTTTATGTAAAAAGTACAGTGGATTTCGGTTATAACGACGGCGGAGGGACCACTTTAATGTTGTCGCTATATCCGGAGGTCTCTATATCGTATCTATATCGTCTCTATACGTAGTTATTTATTTATCACTTATTTATATTATACAAGGCTTTTATTAAAAAAACGAGTTATAGTGCACTGCTTAAGTTTAGACTTTTGTGCACGCTGTAGGGTACATTCCATTTTCATAATTCCCTCTACATCTAAATTATTACTGGCTTCTCCAAATAAATAGTACTTTTTGAGCGTTGTAATAGCACATAATGCATCTCTACTTGTTGGAATCTCGTTTACATTGCAATCCTCTTCTTCATGCTCCTGTTCTTGAGTTTGAAGTACAGACTCAATAATTTCATTATCCGTCAAGTTATCAGTAGTGATAACTTGATCATCAATATTCACATACGTTTCCCAATCCGTAACTGTTGGTTCCGCTGATGATAATCTTGCCAATGGCAAGTTATCCATTTCATCATCAGAATCTTCATCATTTGTATTAATGGTAGAAAATTTACCAAACCCAGCATGTGAAAAACATTTTTTTATTGTATCTGCAGTAACTCGTGCCCATGCTGTTGTTAACATTTCAATGCCGTCCAGAATATTGACGGCAAAAGGAGTTGAGCTGTTTTCATTGTCATTTACCATTTTCTCGACAAGAAGCTTTCGATAGTGGCTTTTAAGAGTCTTAATAATACCTTGATCGATAGGTTGAATAACTGACGTAGTGTTTGGTGGTAGAAATGCCAGTTTTATGTTAGTCAATTTTTGAATGTGTGGGTGAGTTGGACAATTGTCAATAAATAAGATGATTTTTTTATTGTGTCTTCTTAGCTCAGAGTCCCATTTCCGTAAAACTTTTTCAAAATTTTTTGATGTCATCCTCGCCTTTTTGTTGGCTTCGTAATCAACTGGCAAAGTTTTAACATTCTTGAAACACCTTGGTTTTTTCGTCTTACCTATAACCAGCAATTTACGTTTTTCATCTTCCATACTTGAAGCAACAAGCACCGTTATTCTATCTTTTGATAGTTTCCCTCCTGTACATTTTTCTCCTTTGAATTTTAGCGTTCTATCGGGAGTCAATTTAAAAAATAATCCTGTCTCATCAGCGTTCCATATTTGACTGTCGGTATATCCTTCAGTTAATTTTGGTAAAACTGTTCTCAACCAATTATCACAGTCGTTTCTCCACAAACTTTACCGACCACTATATCATGACGTTGTCTAAATCTGTAAATCCAGCTTTCTGAACATTTAAAGTCTGTTTTCCCAAGCTGTCTGGCAAAATGATTAGCTTTCTCTTGCAAAAGAGGACCGCTTATAGGTACATTTTGGCTTCTCTGTGCTTTAAACCACACTAGAAGTACATTTTCAATATCTTGATGAGTTGGATTACGATTTTTCTTTATTTTCAGGGATTTTGATTCAAAACACTGCATAATTTTAGCGCGGTTTTTCCACATCGTTGATATTGTAGAATGAGAAACCCCAAATTGTTTACACAGATCAACATTGTTTTCACCATTTTCCAGTCTCGAAATGATATCCACTTTTTCTTTAACAGTAAATGTACGTCTAGGAGCCATGTTCACAAGTTTAAGAAACGATGTTTACTCACTGGAAATTGATACGTAACTGATTCATAATTTTAACTTCATGCACGTGCTAAGTAATCCTACACAGAAACAAATCACTTGACCATCTGCGAATGTAAACAAAAGATTCTTATCCTTTGTTTACATTACTACATAATACAAGCTTAATAGTTAAAGTTGATGAATGAGTCTTTGCGCCTTTGCCGACTCCGTCTCAATATCCGCAATGAATTTCTAGGAATCTGTCCCAAATAGTTCATAAAAACAAGTCGTTATACCCGAATTAGGCGTTATATCCGGAGTCGCTATTGCCGAATGGATTTATACGAAAGTATGCTTCAAATTCTAGGGACGTAAGTTCGACGTCGCTATAACCGAAAGGTCGTTATTAATGAAATCCACTGTAATTTTATTTTAAGCAAATTAAGAAATTGGCAATTGCAACATTTGAAAATATATAGTTTTTTTTTCTAAAAAAAGATATACATAAGGTATACATAAAAAGTATTTCATAAAACTTCTCAACCTCAACTTCCATAATAAATTTCTGTCATTAAATTCATGAATATTAAATACTACTAAAAACACTTACATAGGCTGTACAATATATATTGCGTTTATATTTCTCAGTAAACAAGCATTCACCTTGAGTATTCGAATAGCAAGAGCATAAATTAACTTAAAATTATTAAATACATCAATTATAAAACAAAATTACACTTTAAATATTAGGTATATGCATTCTAGAACGTTGCTTTGAATGGAAATAATTCGAAGCATACATATTATGTTGTAGATTTCAGGTTTATTTTAATAGCTATGTGGTCTTTAATTGAAATCACCTATTGAGGCCCTACCTAAACTTAGTTGAAAATATCCCACTAAAGTAGTACTCTGAAGTTTAGGCACTTAGGACCTTCAGCTTGTAACATTTCGTCTTTACTTTTTTATAATTATGGTTTGTAATTATTTACTCATCTATACTAGAAGGATTATCATCGACGAAAACTGCATGTGACTTCATGTGGATTAAGAAAGCTAAAAGTCGATCTTTCTCAGCTTCATTTCCTCTGCAAAAATATCATACATAATGATCGACCGTCCAACCTGATGTTGTAATTCTTTTTTTTAAGTATGCAGTTCTTAGAAAATGTGTGCAAAAAAAGTATAAAGGACTTTACATTTCTTAGAATAAATTCTAACCTAAGCAACTTTTGAACTCCCACCTCAATAATGCTGCAAGTATAGTAAGAATCCTTTCTAAATTTGGAAAAAACGACTGGACTTTCTTATATAATAAAGTAATTTAATTACTAATATTAATGTTCGTAACATTATTTTATGTTTCACTTACTCGATGTCTATTTCTATAGCCAATATCGTATGATGAGGTTTCCCTTCTTCATCCAGCCATCTGCGGTAACAGTTTTTAATAATATTGATTATGCATTAAAGTAAAATAACTTCAGCGAACTGTTAAAAATTTAAAAAGAAAGTGTGATGGCAGAGCAACAGGTAATTTGGAAGTTTGTTAGCATGTGTATATAAGTTGTTGCTCTTTCACACAAAAACTACTGAACGGATTTTGATGAAACTTAAGGGTAACTTAAACATTAAAATAAGGCAATAATTATCAACAATTGTTACACTTCAAGGTCTATTATTTACCCAATGACATTGGGAACTTCCGCTCACTCGTTATGTGTATGAAGTGAAAAATCAGATCATAGATGTCGTTGCACACTAGCTACTATATCGATTGTTTTAACGCATCTGACAAAAAAACTATTGTTGTTTTTGTACCTAATCCCTTAGATAAGGAAACTAGTATAATAGAATACTTTGAACAATTTGAATTAAGAGTTAATATGTATAAGAGGTGTTGATATATTTATTATTGAATTATCAGTACAGACATGTCACCAAGTGATCCGCTGGTCGGTGCTGGAGCGAGTGCTCGCGGTCTCTTAGCCGGGTGGACGTCATTGCGGTGAGCTTGAGCCGCGCCGAGCGTGCTTCGAGTCACGTGCCACCAGCCTCGTGTGGCCGCACCAACACCGTCTATACGCTCTATACGAACCCAACCTGCAAGCAAAAATGAATAAAACAGTACCGCTGCGAACATTAACTATGTCAATAATAGTGTTCACGTACCAGCTAGTGGAGGCTGGGCATCAGGCTGGCAGTTGCTGCAATAACATCGGACTTGACCCCAAGAGACCGCTTGACGCAGTTCCGGATAAGGTAAAACGAGGTAATTCCAGTACTTCAACACTAAATGTAGATGCTCACAACCCTCACCAAATGCTTCCCATTCGCTCTCCAGACTCTGACCCTCGAAACCGTCCTGATCCAAACATAATATACGATTCAAATAGTTTAAATTCTCAATAGACAATGGCTCCGAATATAGATCATCGCGGCGAGTGGATTCGTCTATCGATGATGATTGCTCTTCGGTTAAATCTGGCAAGTTGCCCGTTTCCAATGTCAATGCATCCATAATTTCATTATCTAGATTATCAACATCATTTGCTTCTGGATAGCGATCATTGTGTCTTATGTTAGTGTCACAGAACTGGTCATGTAATTCATGATCGTCATCCTGGCAGCCTGTGATGAATGTAAGCCGGAGAGCATCCCTAACGTCCATTGAATCAGACATGCGACAAAAGTCGTGACTAGAATGACTTCTCTGTACGGTTCGAAATGACAAATCCTTGCTGTCATTGGAATGATTGAGGATAAGACTGTGATGCATGGTACGAACAGGAGTAATACTTTTAATTTCTTTATTTTTCATTTCATTGTCGGGAACAGGTCTTGGGTGAGACGGCCCGGGCTCAACGTTAATTGGATCAAATACTTCGACAAGGTTATCTTGGCTGTATGCTTTAGTTTTTCGACGACGTTGTAAATCCACTCGTTCAATAATAGGAACGCTGTCGTCTTGTGAGGTTTCCAGATTCAATTCAGCCAAAGATTCTTCTTCTCTACGATTTTCCGCTATCACAGGCAAATCAAGGGAAGTCCCAGATACCACGGTGTACGGGTGTAAAAGCACAGATACCTAAAAAAAGTAAATATAACCTAATTACTACAAACATTACTGACATAAATTTTATTTTAAGAAACTGAAATATCTTAAAATTTTATCAATCTGTTCGTAATTTAATAACTACATCAGATCTCTATCATACAACCAGTTTAGTTTTCTATTCGTTTTTCAAACAAGGCAGATCAAGAAATTGTTATTTATTATATAAAATTTTTATTGTTAGTCTTAGATATGTTACTATGAATCAGTCGCAGTATTTTCACTTACCTGACAAACCTTTCCATATAAATCTATGAGTGGGTAGACGTGACTATGCGTCCTAGGTACTGAGCCGACCACTCCTAAGACTACGCCGTCGATGTCAACCACAAGCTCGCTATTGAAACGGAAGTGGAGCGTCAACACTGACTGTTCGCATATATCTTCTAGCTCGGACGTTGTATGGGTTATAAGCTGTAAGTAACAGAGAAATGAAATTCAGTACAATCAAGGTATATTCGTTACATTGAACACATATGTATGTATTTACTTTACTCATGAATCTTTAGTGTATAAGTAAATAAAATAACAGAAGTACTATTAGGGGTCAGAGTATTAATTTTATCGAATATACACCTCATTATTGTAGTGATAAATTCAAACTTTCTTAAATTACAAACAAACTTGATTTAAAGTCGCTTATTGATTTACATTTATAAATAAGTACTAAATAAATAATGCCAAAGAACTTGGTTGATTTCACAACCAGGTTTTTGGAATGATTGAGAAAATGTCTCGTTATAGTATATTATAAGGACATATTAGAATATTATACATGAATCAAGTTAGTTCTGTTTATCTAGCTAGTTAAATTCTTACGATTGATGATTCAGCTGTGATCTGCTAATAATTGTCTATAGTTATGGTACTAACATTATTTCCATCGTAGTGTAAATCACTGGAGAGTAGCCAGACGGGCGGGTCGAGCCTCATAGCGCTCTCGGGCACGCCGTCCGGGAGACACGCCACTCCACCGATGGCCAGGCTGCCGTCCCAGCTGGAGTCGATCTTGTCAACACGGAACTGTTCAACGGAACGTATGGAGAATGTTAATACTGATTTTCAGTACATATTAGATATAGAGCTAAATACAAATCACTGGCTTAAATGTTTAACTAGCCCAGAGTAATAACATTCGCTGAGTAAAATAAGTATTATTACTAAACATCAAAAATATTTTTAAATCATTCGCATGACATGTTTTACCGAAACTTATATTTAAAAAAAATACTTATAGAAGACGATTCACAAATTTTGTGCTAAAATTATTTGTAACTTAATCAAGAAACAAACAAACAAATAATGTGTTTAAACTATATTTTCAAAAATTTTGATTTCATCGTAATATAATATTTATTCTTAGATTTATTTATTTTTGGGTTTGTCTAGCAAAGATTTCTTTTTAATAATAAGACATGCTTTTGTAGCGTTTTTTTTCTAACCAATGCAACGCTATACAATTAAATATACCAAATTTAGAAGGAACTGAATAATACGTTATGCAAACATATACCGGTATATATTATTAAACATAAGAAAAGAAAAAGTAATTTTATTTCTGTACTCTTATGGAAAGATAAGAGACGTAGTGAGTGTGAGATATTTAAAAAATTTTTTTTGTTCGTATGACACCCTATTTAATATTTTTGATAATTTGAGTAATTGTTCTATAGTACAACAATTCTGTAACACATTTTTTCACTGAGTCACTAATATTTTTTTATGGTATATAGCAATAGCTGACTAAAAAAGGATGTCCCCGACATAATTTATTTTTCATCTGTTAAACCTATTTTAGTAGACCGACAGTTATTTTAGTTTTGTTAAGGATAAGGCTCGATGTCATTATAAATTCAATAGCTTTCACCATCGGATATTTTTTCTAATTATTAGAAAACATCAATATTTTTTTTATCTCAATATAAATGGACTTAGTGTAAAATGATCATTAACATGTACCACATTTATATAACCATTGCAAAGCATTTCATTAAAAATATAAGTTGCATAATCTAAATAAAAACATATAGCTATAACATAAATATAATTTATAAACAGAAATATAATTATAAACATTTTGCTATATTGATTTTGATTTCTTGTCGAAACTTCTGCACAATTTTAGTGTTATTTTATTTTTTAATATTATTGTGCTTCATATAAAATCCTTTGAAGAATATTTTAGGATAATCTCCTTTCAATACAAAATTAAACAAAGTGTACATAACATTAAAACTTTGATATAATTCGCCGGAAACATTTTACGAAAAAAAAAAAATTGCAGTGCTTTCTTCTATAAGTATAACAAAATTTAACAAGAACCTGACGCAAGCATTCTTTCATATTAATATTATAATCGCGAAAAACAGAATTTCATGTCTAAAGTACTCAACCGATTATGATTAAGTTTTGAACAAAAAAGAATATCGTATTATTCGATCTCAAACAAGATATATATACAATTATATAAAATGTCCTATCTCTCTGCGTAATACAAGTAGTGTACATTTAAATTCGCTGCAGCACCTTAACACTTAAACAATATTGATTTTGTTTTTATAAACACATATGACAACTTTATAGAGTTAATCTTAATTAGATATAAGAATTATTATCTCACCCTGAATCTATGACCACGTCTCAGCGGCTGGCTGACGATGGCGACAGCGTCCTGGTAGCCTGATACACGCATAGCAACCGTATCTGAAAACAAAGACATTTCTTATATGACACTAGAAGACCCGCCGAACTTCGTATCGCCCTATAATCAGGAAATATCTGTTACGTTTTTTATTTATATTTTTGGAGTTTACTTATTAAAGCCATAAATCTCCGTGTTTTGAAGTGCGACAGAATGAAATATTAGTTAGTTGTCAAATCTAATATAAAAAAAAACGTTTGTATTAACAACTACTATTAAATTAAAAATTTATTAAAAAAAACATTGTCCAGCGGACCAAATAGTGAATCTAAACCATTCCCAGATCCCCTTGAAGACACACAAAAAATTTCATCAAAATCGGTCCAGTCGTTTGAGAGAAGTTCAGCGACATACACACTCACAGAAGAATGATATATATAAAGATAATCATATTATCATTAATTAATTAACTAAGCGAATAGTTCATTGTATTACCTGAACTACATAGCTTTATATTCCGTCCGTGTACATAGTGGAAGGTGTATGGTAGTGCTGCTCTACGTCGTCTCTCAACCGGTCCGACGGTCACCGCACTATTCATATCTAATTCTGAATTCGATGTCTGTTCTAACTTCTCTGGTTCTGGTTTCTGGCATACATCGTTCGGGACTGCAAGGATTTACATGTATATCATCATCAGCCTATCAGAGCCCACTGCTGAGCAAAGGCTTCTTTCTCACATGAAGAAGGTTTTTGAGCCACGCTTGCTCAAGACGGGTTGGTGATTTCAAACTTATAATTGTGAAACTATAAGTCCAGGTTCCCTCACGATGTTTTCCTTCACCGTATGTCAGTGGTGTATAAATACTCTTAGAAAGTACCTAAGACTCCGAAAAATCACATTGGTAATTGCCAGGTTTGAACAAGCGCCCTCGGCAACGAGAGTACATTTATATATGGATGTGAAAAAATAATCGTACGTTTATTATGAATACCCACTTGTCTGAGGTAGAACAGCTACAGGATTCCCTCTCGTCACCGCTTGTATCTTATACACCGATCCGTAGATTTCCATAACCACGTATACTTTCTGTGAATAATTAAAAATACAGTTATGATATTGTAATTTGTTTATTTGTTATTGTTTTTTGTTATCATGACGTCTTCAACTTACGTCGGGGACTTTCTCGAAAGTCACATCTAACAGTTCACAGTTGTAGTAAATGAGAACTCTATTGTCAGTGGTCTTTTTGAGTCCAATACGATCCCCCGGTCTTAGCCATTCGAACGAAGGCACCATCACTTTCAGATCTTGCTGACGGCTACCCGGTCTCGAATATCTTATATACCTGCCTGATATATGATAAATGTACATACGTTAATAGGAAATAAAGTTCTTTATTTCCTAGGATTAATAATAAGAATTATAATTATTTAATAATAATTCATTGTTAGATGTGTCTGTTTATAAACTTATTCCTATATGAACTTGAAATAGATTTTAAGATTTTCATGAAAAGAAAGGAAAAATTTAGGTAAAAGTTGTATACGACGTAATATATTTATATAGGATGTTTATTAAAATGTTTATTTATCCATATCAAATATACTTAAGTGGTGTTATATTTTAATATAGAAAACAAACTTATTAAATTTCCTAAAAACTTAAAAAAATAGCACGTTGTTTTCAGGTTCCTTTTTAAACCATAACTGAATAAATTTGTTTATATGAATATTATGAATAATTACGTATAAAGTATATGTACCATCGATATAGGCCGTGTAGTGTGGTAAACATGCGACAGATGGCGGTAGACTGCTGTTGACGTGAGCGTTCAATATGTTGATATCAGTTACACCCATACGGAAGCTGCCAGCGAAGCCGTACTTGCACTCCACGATTTTTATCTATAAAATATTTCAAATAGCAAAATCAGAACTACTTTTCAAAATGCTAGAACAATCAAATAAAAATCCAACAAGCTAGAAGCAAAAAATCAATTACTTAATTTTCTTACAATGTGTTTAAAGGAAAAATAAAATACCACCAATATGGTTGATTGGAATTATATGTTAAATGGCATGTTAATTGTATAAGCCACATTTTTAAGGTTGACTTAACTGATACTAAAATTATAGATTTTTCATGTAACATTATTATGGAAAAGAAATACTAAAATTACATATTCCAACGTTTTGAAAACATCGATTTATTCTGACATATTGTATACTATGATTCCGTTTGGCTTACATACCTATAGAATTAATAATCTAGTAACGTGAGATAAAACACCTTATTACAAATGGAAGGAATATTCTTTTATGATAAAAACCTCAAACATCTCGCCAATAGCCAGATGTGCGGAGCTGAACACTATCGCCGCCATGGGATCAGGCAAGTGACGCCACGCGATTGAGAAATCATTCAACATGCAGATATTGTCACCGTAGTATTCAGAGAAGCTCCTGCAAAATATATTTTATAACATAATTTGCATAAAAAAATAAATAATCTGTTTAATAATTAAGGTAACTTGCCAGTAAGGAGGAGGCGGTGAAGTTATTGCTCTTGAGTTGCTCAATATTGAATTGTCAGAATTTGTACAGCCGTTATAATTGAACGCTCTTTCTTCATTTTGTAGAATAGTCACCTGTCAACATAAATCATATATTAATAATGTTTAAAAGTATTTGAGACGAAACTTCTAAGTATATACATTTGTTAATATAAACGTATATATAAGGATATATTCACCTGAGTACATTGGCCATACAGATCTACCACGGCGTATATATTGAGATGTGGCACGTACCAAGCCTTGCCCATGTCCATACCGTCCAAGTAGTAGTGCAGACTGCGGTCCGCATGCCACATCATACCTTGAATAACACGAATTATTAGATAAATGCAATCAAAATTGTTATGTATGACATATTCTTGAAGTTTTTATATAAATAAGAATTAATGAAAATACTTTTTTTAGGAGAAGATAGGATCTTATAATTTTAGACATGCCTATGAGCACAAAAGCCAGGTGCTCTGTACCCACACTGCAAATTGCATTGTCACACTGCAAACATACCGAATCTAGTGTTTTATTCCTAAATCTTCACACATTATCGGTTTATGAATGATCATCTTTGAATGCTCTGTATTTAGTTTAATAACGGAAACCGGTGATTAGGGCACTTAATTTTTTAGAAGGTAATATTTAACATACGTATCATTATCAGGAGTAGTACTCACCAACTCTACTACCTACAGTCAATGTATCCAAATCAAGAGGATATCCGCTACGAACACACTCCCCGTCCTTCATCATAGCAGCACCGCTCAGTATATACGTATCCCAGTTAAGATCTGTCGCTGTACCAGCTAAACCATTTGCTTCTAGATCGTCCGGCCGGATTGCTGTTACGCCTAGAAATTAATTTTGGTAAATTAATAATTTTTTTAACGAATACATGAATTTACCACTAGTTTTGAAATATTTGTATTGTTTAGAAGAGTGAGAGACAAGAAACACATCATTTAAATTCTACAAGATCGTCTATCATTGGAAAACAATTTCTTATTTATAATATGAACCAGTGAAGCATTTAGTTTTTCTATTGTACACTCGTACTGAAACCTATCATGAGTGGTATAAAATAAATAAAATTAAGCTTTTTTCTTATTTTGTAACTACATAATATCGACGTTTCGTTCCTATACAACAACTTTGATAACGGGCAGACGACATGAAAGTGTCTCCCTAAATATTACTCTTATTTAAATGTTTACACGCGAAATCTTGGCTACATATGTGTGATAATGATGATAAGGTAAGTATTCCCACCTATCTCCAAACTGCCGATCCAGCAGTCCACCATCGAGTCGATCCTGAGTTCGAACATGTCGCACTCTCTCAGCGGCCGAGAACTGAACAGCACCGCGTCGTTGAACTCCGAATACACCGCCGCCCTGGATGCGGTCAGCCGACTACGACTTAGACGAGCATTGCGACCGTGCACACGATGGAAACACATCTCACTGACGACATATACAATTATACATCCATTCACGTATAAAAAATATAATTAAACACTACAAATAAAACACTCACGGATAAATTGTAGCATTGGATTCCGTTGAAATAGGAGAGTCGGGAGAGTAGGTCGTCGGTGGTGAATAACAGTCCACTATTGTAGCCTGAGCTACACGACCGTATAAATCTATTGAAAGAGAAATCATTTTTATAGCATCCGTAACCTTATATCAGATAGGTCTTTCATAATTTAGCTCATACCAATGATCCCAAAAACATGTTCTGGAATATTAAAAGCAGCGGGTCCTTGATCGACTCCATTCACAAAAAAATGTAGAATGCCCATATCTTTTCGCATAACACCTACAGTGTCCCCTTCCTGGTACACAGAATACAAACAAACATTCTTTTATATTGTATGCAACTTCCAATTGTAACAATGTTTCAAAACAAACATACCACTAATCTATTCAGATTTCTGACATATTTTGGTATAATAATCATCGCGTCCTGTATAACGTCTTCACCGGACATGACCCAAGTGCCTGATCTGTAAAACAAAGTCGGCTTTTCTTTTGTATCTATACGTTCATAATAAAAAAATATATAATTAACTTACTTGGCATTGCTCATTTTAAATGGAATTTTAATATCATTGGAAGTGTGCTGCGTGACTCCTATCTCAATGCTTCCAGCCCATTTGGGCACTACCAGATCGAGTCGCACTTGGAACAACTCGTTGGTACGTAGCGATCTGTTCGTCATCACTACGCCGTTGTTGAAGTATTCGAAAGCACTGAAATTATATAAAGAAAATTATAACTGCTCTCTCGTCTTAAAATTTCATGTATTAAATGATACTCACTTAGGCCTATGAGCAGTCTTACCATCGTTAATAATAATAACATACGAATCACGCAGCGTATGAAATAAAAGGCTATCTTCATCTATCCTCGGTCTGAATCTACCTGAAAAATTTATTTCATAATTAGTAATTCACACTACCACATTAAAATAAATAGCTTTTAATTTTTTATTGTTTTATATTACGTACTAGGAGCAGGAAGATCGGGTACAGTCGATACAGTGGGCATGTTGTTGATGTTACTATCGATATCCTCACAAGGATCCACTATAGATACCTGTACATATGAAATAAAACTCAGCAATAACCAATAACCAATTCATAACCTAGACTTTTCTAATGCCTATCGATCATTATGATAAATGTTACCAAAATAATATAATATATACTATACCTTGACGGTCATGCCATACAAGTCAACGACGCCCCATACTTGCTGTTCCACTTTGTCGGTCGCTACACCTTGGTCTACACCATTAATGAAGTAGTGCAGTTTGCCTGTGGACTTCCTCAGCATACCCACTGTGTCACCTTCCTGTTACGAATCATATTACATCTGATACGAACGGAAAGACATGCAAAACTTCATACACAAATAATTAACAGAACCTTTAAAATAACATACATATAGCGTACACTTGAAATAATAATTTGGTGAGTCATTGTTTTATATCGATCGTATATAAACATACATTATCGATATCACACGCATACATACCCGAAGTTCATCAAGATTGAAGTTTCCATATTCCATACACGTTCCATGTCCATTGAGCAACACCTTGCAACCCGACATCATGATGGTACCAGTGTCGATGTTCGTCATAGTTGATGGGAAGCGAATGGTTGCCGGGTTGTGGGTTGTCACGCCGACCTTGAAATAATCGTAATTAAATTAAGTATCAACATTAACGGCTCTATAAAATAAACATAATTTCATTCAGATTCATAATTGTTGTCATTGTTTACAAATCATTCCATAAATTTTAAGATCTAGTGAATAATTAAATATGTTAGCAGATAAAATATGCAGTCTTACATCAAAGGAAATATAAGAATTTAATATTTAATATAAAAATTGTGAACTAATTCATTCCTCCTAGGATTTTTTTATATTTAGACATGAAACTATTCTATGCTCAACAATTCATTTGAACGATGAACTTAATTAAAAAAAATTTAAGGGAACTAAAAATTAATTTATATGACACTTAATTGATTTAGCCCCAATGATAAAAGTCTCGGATCTACAATAAAATAATTTCAATGACATAAAACCTCAATGCGTATTAGCTTTGACTTGTATGTATTCAACAGATACTAAATCGCGATCCACTTAATATCTTCTTGTTTGATTTCTACTCACAAATCGTATTTTGTTATAAAATTATTTGATTATAAATGTATATTGTATAATTCAGTACCCTCTAATATTCAAAACTTACTTTCACTATGGAGTGTAATAACTTTAAAAAATCTATTATACATATAATAGTATCCAATTTTATATTTTACAATACTACCTCTATACTGCCACTCCACTTGTCCACCAGTCTGTCTATACGTATTTCAAAAAGCTCGTTGTCGTATAGCGGTCTGTGTGTCATAACAACGCCGTTGTTGTAATCGTCTAATGGTCGAGCTCTCTCAGCAGTCCTATATAATATTAAAAATATTTACAACAAATATAAACAAATACATTAAAACATTTTAGATTTATTTGTAAAACAAGAAATGCTCATTAATATGAATATTCCATCAAACAAACAAGAACTTAAAATAAACACCTGGATTTCTACCTGGCAAGGTCATTCTTCGTGATTTGTATATATAATTTAAAATACGAATATATCCTGATATAGTCAAAGAAGTACCAACCAGAACAATATTTTGAATGTTCCCATGTTATGTTAGAAGCATATGTTAGTTTGTTAATATAATAAATAAATGCATGTATATATAAAAGATGTTTAAACTCACTTGTTATTGGAAGAAAGTTTGACTAGTATTCCACATCTAGGATGAAAACGTAGACGATCATGAGAAGCTGTAAGGAAATTAGCAATATAATATTATTTTTTTAGTAGCTAACTACATAAATGTGTGAATTAATAAACAGATGGACTTTTATGTAATTGGAGATGAAATCTGAAAAAAATGTCAAGACTATTAAAATGTGTTTCTTTTAAAATTGTTACCATATAAATGCATACAAACGTTAAAGTATACTAAATATTTATATTTGCTCGTAATTTTTTAAATAAAAATCACAATATACCAACAATATAACATATAGCATAGTATTTCAAGGTGGAAAAATCTAACACAATGTATTTGTGGTTGATAGAAATGACCTTGGCTTAATAAAAACATCTCCTCTTACATCACTGTCAATAGAATAATATAAATTCAGTTATACATAACTTATATAGTATTTTATTATACCTAAAGTGGATGATGAATCAGGCATTGATATATAGACCTCCTGTTGCTCCTTGGATGCTGATGATTCTGGTACAGCACTGACTTCTTCAGTAGGTGTTAATGTATCATCATTATTTGGATCTTCCTCAATCTGTAAAATTTTAGACTCAGTAATATTCATACATCACAAAACGTTCATTTACTTTCTAAGTTTGTCCCAATTGTATTTACATAAAATTTTATGCATAATTAATTATACTCATAAAATAGTGTTTTTATCATGTCTAACAAGTAAATTGTGTTGAAATAAGTTTCTTTCATTTTCTGTTCCATATAGGAAGTTGGTGTTTATGATGTGAGATGCACTAACAGGGACCTAATCAAAATAACCTTGAGTGTATATTGTCAACTCATTGGTAATGGAACATGTCAAGGTTTCAGCAGAACGACCATTAATATGTGTTAAGTTTTAACACATTGGTGTAATCCAAAGAAAAATGCATTCATTTCATGTTTCATTATTAAAAACTTTCAAATGATTTTAATAATAATTGATATCAAACTATATCAAACCCCTGTAGTTATTTTTGTTGTAATAAATATATTTGTCATAAGCATCAAAACATATAAAGTTTATTTTAAAAAGATTTACTTATTTTTTATAGTTAATTTAGGTTTTGTTTAGTTATAGATTTGGTTAGAATATATGATATAAATATTGAAATCTTCCTACCTGATCCATACTACTCTCCATTATTGTTCTCATACCAGTTGTGTGTATTATTGATACTTGCACACACTGTCCATACAAATCAATGACAGCAAACAATCTTGGGGGTAGATCACAAGCAGCCACACCTAAGCATCTACCATTTATATAAAAAAACAGCTCCCCCTGAAGAAAAATAAATTATTATAAAAACTTACAGCAAACCTTCTCAATATGGGATGTATGGGAGTTATAATTTTTTATATACCTTATTAGATCTCATAACACCAAGAGTATCTCCTTCTCTAAGTGTGTCCAATTCTGGACCATATGAATTTACCAAAGTTATGCCATCTTTGACGATTGAGCTTCCGGACATAATCTAGGATGAAAAAAGCATAGTATGATACCAAAATATTTAATTTAACACATTTAATACTGCATCAAAAAAGAATGTAAGAAAATATTTATAAATAAGATCAAATAATGTCCAAAACAAATATAATTTTAACAAGAGATAATCATTAAAATGTATACCCATGCGGTATTGCGAAGTTTAGTAGCAGTAGCAGGTAGTTCCATAAACTCAGGGTCCAAGGTGGTAACTCCAATCTCGAGACTTCCATTCCAAACATTAACCTTAAAATTACAGTCTATGAAAATATGTATTTTCTAGTGGTAAAAATATTTTTTTGTAAATATACTTTAAGATAGGTGTAAAACCTATGATCAGACAAACATCACTAATTTAAAATGCTATATAAGACATATTAAGTAATTTTAACCTGTTTTAAGTTAGATTAAGTAAACTGTCTAGCTCAAAACAAAACCTAAAAATTTTGAGGCAGGCAGTTTTCTTTAATGAAAACCATATTGATGGAACCATCAAACAATAAATTTTGTGCACTGTCTAAATAACAATCTCTTATTTTTCATCTCTCAATTCAGTAGTTACAATGTAATATTTATCTGAATGTAAATTGATTTAAAAAAATATTGAATGTCAGGTAAATTTAGATCATATGGTTAAATACTCTGAGTAAGTAAATTGAGTGTCCGATTTTTATTTAAGCTATATTACCCATTAATAGGAGAATCATTCAAAAGAAAGAATTTACAGAATCTAATTCATATAAAGACCAACAGACACAAAGATGTACATAAAAGTGATGACCAATTGGTTGTTATTTCAGTAGCTTTTTTTTCCAAATAAATGTATATATTTTATATAGTTTAATATTGCTCACCTTTCTATCGATGCAAACTTCAAACAAAACATCATCTAAAATGGGTTCTGCACTTAGAATGAGACCATGATTAAATTCTACAAAATTCCTTACAGCAGTTGTATTGTCATGGAGTAGGGTGACTCTGTCACCACATCGTCTGTGAAACCTCATTTTGAAGCCATGTCATGTACACTTCGTTATACAAAATATTCGACCCATTAATATTAATATCATATACGAAAAGTCATTCAAAGGAACACCACACATGTTATAAATTAATGCAATTATCAGCACCCATATCTCATTAATGATTATTTACTTATTAAGTCAAACCGTATTCAGGACGTTTATAGTATAATATACAAGACATTGCATTACATCTGCCCATTGTGAAAAAAGAATTTTCATTGCAACACAAAAAGAAAAAATGATCCCAGCTCTGAAGCCTGAGTTTTACCAAGTTATTGACTTAAAAATGGTTCCTTTTTCCGCCCTTATGTGTTGCCACTTGATAGTTAATATTTTTTTTGTTCGATGTACTGGATTCCTAATATTTTAGACATAAAACGATGTACTTGGAAATAAGTATTTTTTCCATTCAAAATAAATTGTTTGATAAAATATGTATTAACTAATTTGTTAATTACTACTGTTTATAAATTAAAACACATTACAATACTCATCAAGCATTAAGGCTCGTATATATATTTTTACATTTTCTTTTTTCACAAATATATATAGGCACAAATATATAATATCATGATTATTTTCTTTTTTTTCATTCGTAAAAACATAAGTAATTTAAAATAATTAACAAATATACTTTTCAACTTTAATACGTATTAAATTGTTAAGAGCATTTGCTCTTGATTGTGAAAACAACTAAAAATTAAACTATAATTTGTTATACTTGGAAATAACAATCTACCTGGATCACAAGGTAAAGGTAAACTGGCTAAACTAAGTTAAATATTCCCTCCTAGTTTTTACTAGGTACAATGAATAAATTGATCTGTAGAGGCACTTCGGTTAACTAATATTGTTAGTATCGTACACCATTTATGTTCTTTATACCTAGGTTTGTTAACTCTTTTATTTTAACATTTTACATTATTAAAATTGAGTGTGATTTGGTTTTTAAGCTTCGAGAATGATGTAAAATTTATTGTAAATAAAAACAAACAAACAAATAGATTATGAAAGGGAGACGGTCCAATTCTTAAGTTTTATGCTTCTATTAGACACTGGATATTTAGAAAAACCTGAATGGGTCTTGGAAAAATCCTAAAAATGTATATTATTATTTTATTCATTTTGTTTCTTGAGAATGTGGTGTGGTTCAAGGTAGCCTTAAAATTGTTCAATCGTAATTTGAAGTGAATTAGAATTTAATAATGGACGTATAAAGGTGAAAAAAATCTTACAAGTAGCATTTGTCATAAGTTTATTTTTTTCTATCATGAATTGTAAAAAAATTAAAAATACGGTTACTTTGTTTCAAAATTCACTTTTACTTACAATATAGTAAAGCAGCATCTTTTAGAAATTCTATCACTAGCCATTTCTTTTTAATGTCATTTTGAAGTAAAAAATAATGGTTTTATTATTCTTAAATGAAGCAAATCAAGTCGACTAATAATGAGAGAATGAAATAGACAAAAACAAATTATCATCAGTTGTAGATGAAAGATAGTTCAGGATATTTGTAATACACGGAATACGTTATTTTTAGTAAATATATTAAATGTTACAATAAATATGTATGTAACAGATAAAATAATAGTACAAAATTTTTATTTTTCAATAATTGTACAATGAACGGAATAAATAGCATATAATTAATAATTTTTTATATTAATATGTCTTCAAAGCACTCTTTAATTTACGTGGTTTTGGGCTATAATCGGGTTCTGGCACTGGAGGAGCCGGGGGCCAAGGGTCTCTTCGCCACTGTTGGTCATTTGTGGGAGTCACTGGTGGTTTTACAGGTATAGGCCGTTTTGGTTCCTCCAAATATGTGAAAGGACGTGATCCCATTGGAGGATTGGAGTTCGTTGGTGCTACTGACCATGGGTCTGAGCGATACGGCGGACTGAAAAGTGGACATTTTTGTTTAATAAAAAGGAAAAGGAGATAAAATTAAACAGAATACTTACTACGAATTTTGTCAAACTAAACTAAAAGTTTACATTTTCATTCATATACCGGTGTAGCACAATCTTTATTACTTACTTTGAATAATCAGGAAGTGGATTTTCTCTAATTTGACGTTGTGGTGGAGACGGAGATATTTCGTCATGATTGTAAACAGGATTGATATTTGTTCTGAAAAATGTAAACAAAAAATCATATAACGGAAGAGTTTAGAATATTTTAGATTGATAAATATATTACTATGATTTGTCTTCATATGCATTACCTAGGATACCCTAAGAATAATTCATTCCTTTGTTGTTGCCACGGACTCTCCTCTCTCATGGGTCTTGGTACTCTGAAACGATAGGGTATGCAAATATTGATAACAAATAAGTATAAAGCAAAAAATTCAATAATTGTAATAATAAGTTTATATCTTTTATGTAATATAAATGGAAGTTTTTGAGTAAAGAATATAATTTTATCTTTTGTTAAACTTACTCATAACCATTGAGTGGTCCTAATTTATGGATTGAATGCTGAAAACAAAGAAATGTTATAAGTCGATAAAAAATTAAAAACACTACGAAAATGATATCTAAATACTTATATATAAATGAAATGACTCTAAGTAATTGATTTTTCAGTATACTACCTAAATTATGTTTTGAAAAATCACATGTTATATCGTTCATATATGTATTTGGTACATTACAATAATGTCATATACGAGCAAGTGTTAAAAGCAAATGAGTTTATTAATAATATTTGACCATACAATTTTACTACGTATCATGATTAAATGTCAATATGAAAACTAAAAAACCCTATCTACTGCACATCACTCACTCCGTTTTCCTTTGCCTTCTGTTGATTATCAATTAGGTAAACTATGAGAGTAATCAGCAGAATAACGTTGATAGCATGACCGATGTAGCCTTTGAGAGAGATACTCATTAATAAGAACATCCCCAAGCGAAATATTACCAAAGGAGAGTTGTTCAACAATTCCGAAGTGTCATCATTCTAAAAGAAAAAAATATTTTTACTTCAAGACTTGAAAGCAGTAGGTATTCTTTTAAAAACTTTTAAAATTGATGAATATACATGATGGTGGGTGAGTAATTATTAGTTTTAGATTATTTTCACTTAAAGAAAATGGGTTCAACAATATGTTAAAGAAAAAATAAAGTTATTATACTTAGTATAAACATTTTAGAATTCGAAGAAATTGCTAAAATAAAGTTAAAAAATCTATTAAACCTTATTTAACAATAACATTAACATAATTTTATTTCAAACTACGTAAATCTTAAAAAAGGGAATGAAGTGTACCAACAAATCCGTTAGATATTTGTGATCCCTGCCAAAATGTGCTCCTAGGGTTACGTCGACTACCAAAAGTGCCACACTGGTTCCAATAAAAACATAAGAAACTACATCCACGAAGCCATTGTTTTCCTTTCTTACCACTAAAAATAAATTTATCCTCATAATATACACCAAATCGAAAAAAAGATATATCTAACAAAATACATTTAGAATTCTTAATCATGTTTAAAAAATATATGTATCACCTGCAATAACTGTAAGGGCTGCAAAAAGGTTTAGCACAGCAAAACAAAGTGTCAAAATAATCATAATGAATACTGATTCTGCAGAAGTAATATTTGGGTTCTTCACTGAGTAGGAACATGCATCTTCTGCAAAGTAGAGCATTTCAGCATCAGTATAAAAAATAAGAAATATCAATACAATGAAACATGTCAACAATTATAATCATCGTCATAACAAAATTCAATAACAACAGATCTGGAAATGATATTTGATTAAATATAAATAATAAAATTTGTTAAATTGAACTGTTAAACTTCGCTTTCGTAATATGAGCAAGCATTTTACATTTCGCATAGCAGCAAATTCAAAATTCAAATATAAAAAAAAATTGAACATAAATATACAAAAATAACATTCTCTAAAAATAATCTACACCTACCAAGAATATAATTGCGTAATATCAACGTCCACAGGGAATTCCAGCCGACATCCAAATTTTCTATATATGCACACTCATATCGGTAAATAAGGGCTAATATTGAATATATTATACTTGATAGTGAAATTATCTGAAATTAGAAATAAGCACATTTTATTTTAAGTTGAAGCATTTTTGAGACAATAATAAGAACGACTTTTAATAAATGAATATTTTTTCGTTATAACATTTATTCCGGGAAAAATATTAATAAATCATATACTTACTTATGATACTAAAACTTGAAATATCTGTTCTAAGATAGATAATAATCTATACCTATATTTCTTATCACTAATCGTTTTACATATACTCATGATACTAATTAAAGATAGTTACAAATATCAATAATTAATAAAATACTAAATAATAGTTTTTTAAATCTTAAAGTTACTTACATTTCTATAATTCACGGATGATGTAAGCAACAAATTTTGTATAAAATAAACTTGTTGAATTTTTGTGTAAGTTCGATCTTTTATTAGTTTCTGTTAATTGGGATGGACAATATTCTTTCATAAGTGCTTAAATATTATTTTTCAAATTGACATTGAAATGCGTAACATGAAAAATGTTATTACTTTTTATTGTTACTTATCATGTTTATTACTTTTTAAGCAATGAAATTACTTTATAATAAAAACAAGTCATGTCTATTTTTCAAAATAGTCTATTGGTATTATATTATTCATGAGAAGTTGATTATTGAATGCTTATTATTCTTCGCTAAAATCAAAAATATTCATTATGTTTAAACCATTGTCATTACCAATGATAAAGTTCCTTATAATTCTGAATAGTCAAACTACATCCAAGTAATTTGTATTTATCATATAGCCATATCAATGAAATAATATGTGCGAAATGAATAAAGCTGTTTCCTAAATCTCATATGTATATGAGATGCGATTTTTTTATATATCAACCACCACAAGAACAATTACAGTTATGTTTGATAAATTAAACAAAGCGATAAAACAACACAAAATTACTTTAACATGGTGTTATAGAATAAATTATCTTCACTTAAGCTTTGGCATAATTTGCATTTATTTTGTGGATTTTCTTGCCAATGTCAAGTAAAAGAATATCAAAGATCTTAGACATAGATATGTAAGAACAGAAAAGCGTCACTTACTATAGCAACTCCCCCGGAGATAGAAGCTGTGACGACCAATTCAGGTATAGGTATTACTGCATTCGTCATGTTTATTATTATTTTTATTATATTTATTTCAAACTACTACGCTTCATGCCGGTCTACTGGCTGTCCGTGAATAGACTATCATTAATCGTATCACGATAATTGTTATCACTACTTATAAACAATATTATCTTCTGACCATCGATTACCAACTGTTAAAAATTTATTGGAATTCGCTAAAGTCTTACTTGTCTGGGACAAATTATATAAATTTATAAATCTTTTTATCGGTCTCTGATTGGTTTATTTTTTCAATAATTTTCAGTTGAAATATTTAAAATAATATGACGATGTGATCACTGGACGTATATCCGGTGTCGATATCGTTTATTGTTTGATGAAACACTATTTCGTTCTAATTCATATCAAACATTCCAACTGACTTATCGAAAGATAATAACAGAGAAACATAAAATATACCTGTCTTATCCTCTATTCTAAAAATAATATCGATCGGTTTTAAACACTCGGTTTTTAAAGCAGATTCAAAGATTAGTTGGATAAAGGGCTGACAATGCCCAACTAGATTTTCCCCGAAAACTGTTAATCTTATTCAGACATGTGAAAAAGCACTGTTTTAAAACCTACATATAACCTTTAACTAAGACAACATGATGTGCCCGATGTTGTAATGATAGTGTCATCATATTTTCTGTGTAGTATTAAGAATCTTCTGATCCCTATGAACAGTTGTTCAGTCCGCAGATTCGACAGCGTCTCTTGCTACATGGTATCAGAATTCAGATGCATACAACGATGTCCCAGGGATGTTTGTTCAATTTTTAATATACATATATATCGCATACATTAAACATGTAAAATATATTTTTTTAAAACGTACCATTTTATTTTGATTTTGTGTTTATTATCTCATAACATAACAACAATATATTTTTATAGTATTACCCTTTACATTTTAGTACAAAGGCTCTTGAAAAGAGAACAACAATTCTTATATACATAATGCATATAATGGAACTGAGCGAAAAAAATATTTTTTTAAATTTATTTATTTGTTTAATTTTTTTTTTATTTGTTTTGAGTAATAATCTATAATCTTTTTAATAAATATAAAACTATTCAATTAATAATTTGAGTCAAATCAGATTTGACAATCAAAGTCAAAACACAATTTCACTTAGCCATGAAACAATAGATATATTTTAAACAAAATAAATCATTATATGCCCAGGCCAGAGGCTTTCCTGTCAGCATTGCTTGTAATAGCTTGGACGTGGCGCATCGGTAGTTCCTTGTATGCAAGTTACGCTTTGTCTGAAGCTATAACCCCTACATGTTTTGGGAACAACGTCAAGACAGGACTTGCTGCATTGCAAATTATCGCCATTGTCATTTTGGACCTTCTGCCTTTATCCAATTTTCCACGCGTAAGCCTCGCACATAGAATAATAAGTATACCAACTCAAGCATACACATTGTATTATGCAAATAGATACATTGGACCCACTCTTGACAGTCGACGTGTGACTATAGGTTTATATATTATATCAGTTTTATGCATACTGGAAACTGTTTACAAAATTAATGTTGACTGGAACCGAATAGAATAGATGTAAATAAATAAAAAGGTAATAGAGAAATGTATATAATTTACATCCACCAAAATCTACGACTTTATAAATTTATATCAGGTAATCCATAATTTATTGCTTTTTATTAAACACGAGAATTATGAAGTAAAAATGCATTTTATTTAATATGTTAGTATTGGTAATGTTAGTAAATTATGTTGAAGTAATTATACACTATTAAACATAGCGTCATAGTCGGTTGTCTCTATTAGTATAAAATATATATAACATGGTGCTGCAATAATAAAAATACAACGGTGTAATTTGTTAATAATATTTTACTTACTACCATAAATAAACTTAGTTGATAAATTCACATTACTGACATTTCTCATATCTCTAAATGAATTCCAGCGATAGAATTATTTCAGAGCATTAGGATGGAACGAAATAAGAAAACATTCATTTTAGCAATTTATATAAAACAATATATAAATTCTAAATGTTGTCGTAAATGTTTTCAAAATGTGAAACAATGTTCAACCTTTATTGAATTCTTATAAAAGTATTAAAAATTAAACTAAGAATCATCTTCGACTTAGCCCCATGTGGTTCCACGTGTCATGTTCATTATTTCATTAATACAACACATCTGATTGCGTTAGAGGAGCTAAAATGAAATAGGAAAGGTTAAAATTTAAATAAGAAAATATAGAATGAAAAATTCATCGAAACGAGCAGGATGTATAACGAATATTTCTTTCCTTATTTTGTAACAAAAATTTTAATTTTAGTATTAGAACAACATTACTTTAATCTTCAAAACGTATTTAAAGGAGAGGGCATTATTAGAGTGCTGTTAATGAGGAAAATGAAATTATTTGATATTCACTTGTTTATTCGATGTTTCAGTAATATTATAAATAAACTGAACACCATTTTTATTAAATATGCTTTTTAAAATAGATGACTTTTTATAAGATTTCATAAAATATGTTCTTTAAAAATGAAAAGTTTGTTTTATATCAATTTATGCGAGATAATATAAAAATATTACAAACCAATATAAATAATAAATAACTAACACAGCCTTGGTAGTTGCGACATGTAATTTCTTTTTTGCGTTAATGAACTCAAGCTAGAGGCTGCTCGATGTACAGCTAAAACAAAATATTCATACAATTATTATTCATAATCACACCTTGGATTGGTAAATGTATCTGGGATCATCAATCGACGGCAGGATACCTCTATAGGTCAATGTATTAATTGTGAAAATTGTACTTTAATACTTAAGTTTATACATTTAATTCGCAAGAGCTACTAAGAATTTAATACTTACATGCTTTGCGAACCGAATGTAATGCCGTATAGTCCGGTAGCGGCACTGGAGGCAGGTCCTCGTCTGGTGGCAGTTGGTCACGCATGCGGTGTGCTGACGCTGGAATATAGGCCCACGGCAGCTGACCTTGTAATTCTGCGGCAGTGTCGCGTCGCCTGCATAATTTATTCGTTGTTTATTACTTATATTCAAAGTACATTTACAAATAAATCTTATTTGACAATAAGCAGATCTTCTATAAATTCTGTGATGTTTAAAGCGATTCAAATACAGTATCATAATTAAAGTTCCCGTAACCCAGACTTAAAAACCCTTAATTACCCGCGGTTCAAAGCCGGATTACCGTCTTGAGAGTCGTTAAGCTGTGGTAATGACTGCGAGGCTCTCGGGGGTGAAGTACGGCCGGTGTCGATTACAGCGTTGTCCAAACGTCGTTGCTGCTCCGCGATCATGTTTTCCAAACGTTGAGGTAATGATAACAGATTTTCAGGAAAGTTAACTGTTCTTTTTTTGTCAATATCACGATGATGTAATTTGGGTGACCTGCAATTTTTTCATGATAGAGAAAGTTTAATATTATTTCTTTGTTTTTTCTTGTTTGCAAACTGTTTAATAAAATATTTTTTTTTAATATTTTTAATTTATAGGTATTTTTCAAATTTAAGTTTTGAGTACATATTGATAATAATAAATTATGACATTTATTGTAGGTATACAATATACATACCTTTCAGGTGATGAATACGCAGAATCTAATATAGAAGCTCGTGAGGTCGATGGTTTTGTAAATAAAAACCTTTTCATAGTGCGAAAGGCGTTGTTGAAACCAGCCCGCGGTATTTTAGCTGAATCTTCACGGATACTTGAATCTTCTATGTCCTTCGTACTGGTGCTTGCTTCAGTGATATTACTTAGAGGGATTGACAAAACGGTTCTATCATCAGCACTGTTGCTCGCTTTGCGTGCTACAATCGGTTCTGATACACGTCTGATTGGAAGATGTACTGGGATATTGACTTGTGGTTTTGGAGTTTGAGATTGTGTAATTGGAGGTAAAGGTGGTTGTGGTGGTTGCGGGGGTGGCGGTGGAGGTGGTACAGTCGGAGACTCGACCTATATAAAAAATTTGCTCTGATAATAATAGGCAACGACTTATGATATTTTGGAATATTACATTTTGAATTCGAACTTCATAGCCCAAGCTTTTTTTGTAAACTGTTAAGACCTTTAAGATATCTATCATCCATAGACATGTTTTCGTTTAAAAGACATTTTACTTAAACAAAATAAACACATGTTAACTGATATTTTATTAATATAACTTTTTCAGAATCTGATTTTCTAAATATTAAAAAAAATCAGTAGCCTTTTCTTATGTACTACTTTACTCTGGTATACATGGGTTCACTTATTTTCTCATCTTAGGAAAGCTACTGAAAAAAACACTGCAGAGGGCCACAAACTCATTTTAACTTTAAGATCTTAATAGAGATATATAAGAAAAACTCAAGTTTTAAACTTACGACACCAATATCCGGTTTGGGTTTGCTTTTATCGAGAACTACAATCACAATGAGTATAAGATTGATTACAAAGAAGACAGCGAAACGTGAGTAGAGAGCCACCATGATCCAAGCCGTCAGAGAAGTGTCGAGTTGCTTATTTCCTATCCCGCTTATAGTACCTCCTATATAGTCCATCACTTCTGTTAAGTTCTTAAACAAATAAAAGGTTAATAACGTAACTTAATAAGTTACTAAACATGGCTACTCTTGACCTCAACTTTTGCAAATATCTTCTATATTCTATAATATAAAAACTATAATTACCCGTGTATAGAATGAGTCATTAGCAAAAATGACTGTTGCAACTACGTCACAACCGCAAACTGCTATAGAAATAAACACCCATGGCCAGCGCAAAGGTCTGAAATAGCCCGACTTCTCTTTTCCAGCTAAAAGTGAAGTACATTCAATATTTATTTTATATACACTAATGAGTATTAATAACAAAAAAATCAATTACGTATTTATTTTTTTATTACATGAATGTCTTTAAATGACTGAATGAACTTACTCACCCATTAAAATGATGCTGGCTAAAAACCAAAGTACGCTGAGTCCTAAGCTCGCACTATTAATGTAAAAAGTGCGAGTGACCGTAAGAGGTTCATTAGTTATAAGCACAAAAGCCTGATCAGGAATACCCTCTATCACTTTCCCTATATTTATACGACTTCCACAATCTGGATCTGAAAAATAATTAACACTTTAGTCTTTACAGGCATATTCGTTATCATAATGCGGAAAAAATAACCCTTAAAAATATTAGTACTTACTATGTAAATATAAAATTTTAATATAAATTAAAAAGGGCAAGTCCCGTAGAAAATCAATGAGACAAAAATATTGTGCTAAAGACAGCGAACTGAAGATTGCCTGAGTGACCGCTTGGAGCTAAAACCGAGAAAGAAAGATAATTATAAATATTTAAATCCTGAAAAAAATCTTCCTGAACATAAAATTTCATAGTTAAAAATTTAGAAAACTCGCAAAGAAAATCAAGTAATATTTTATGCGTATGTAACAATTCTCCCTTTATATATTACTAGCTGACCCGGCGAACTTCGTACCGCCTTATAATCAAGAAATATATGTTAGTTTTTATTTGAATGATGTTAATTTCTTTATTAAAAAATAGGGGTTGATCGTAGAGGGGTGAAAAATTTAGAGTAATATGAGATTTTTTATTGTAAGTCATCAAAAAATAAAAAAAAAATTGGTAAAAAAATTAAAGTTTTTAATTAACAAATAAAAAATAAGGGTTGATCCCAGAGGGGTGAAAATTTAGGGTTGTATGTATTTTTGTAGGCTGTGTCATAAAAAAAAAAAAAAAAAAAATTTTGCCTAAAAAATAAAACAAAAATTTAGGGGTGGACTACCCTTAACATTTAGGGGGATGAAAAATAGATGTTGGCCGATTCTCCCCCCTGGTTAGTATCCTCGATAAGGATCACGAAAAATGTTCGAGACGTTTCGGAGGAGTTCAAATTCGAACACCGTGACACGAGAATTTTATATATTAGATTATATTTTATGGTTGCTTTTTTAAACTTCTTTCAGAATGCTTTACCTTTCATTTCCGATACAAAAAAGTAGCCTAACGTTTTTTTTCTCGAATTTATATTTAATATTAATATGGATTCTTGAATATTTCATATTTGGATCTGCTGTGCAAATTTTGGTAGGCGCTTTAAAACTGTCTCAAATTAAGAAGCAGTATGACAAATATTTGGTTTGTTTACTAAATTACATTTATGCTTTATATAAAAACTAATTTTTGTCAACAAATTCGTTAGCTTTAACTTCTGAAATAAAAAATTTTAGCTGACTGGGCAAATTCTGTTCCGCAGTAAATAAGTAGGTTTTGGATTTTATTAAGTTTTTTTTCTGTTTCAATCAAACGCGATGTTAAGTATGCTATGTCATTTCCCTAGTTTTGAGCCAGCTCTCCACCAATTTTCAATAGAATCGGTACAGCCGTATTTACGTTATAAATATTGCAATTGACGCAACTTTTTAAAATAAAAGTACCATACATTTAGATGACCTACACTTTATGATTAAAGGAGTTATTTAACATTCTCGTTTCATTTTCTTAAGGCCTTTTAAAAAGAGATAGCTAAAATGCGAAGTTATTTATCTTGTTAAGGAATTTGTTAATAGATATATACATATGTATCAGTTATTTCGTAACAATTTGTTACTTTCATACAACAAGAATGTGACTTTCTATTAGTCATATGAGTAAACGATAAGATAAAGTCGATCAATATATTGCTATACGTAAGTGTACGCATATACACTTACGTATATTGATAATTTTTCTCGAAAGAAATTAATTTCTTTTTGTTTACATCCTCTGTTTTGATTCATAAGAAAGGTTATGTAAATGGAAATAAGGACGATTGTTATTACCTCAGTTAACAGTAATAGTAGAAACTCAGAGTTGTTATGTTAGGTTTAGCTACTATTTAATATATTTGGATCATCATACGTGATGTTTATTTTGAAGATCAAGTGGAAATATACAGTTCTGTCTTTCACAGTAGTTTACGCATAGACATCACGTAAAGCAAAAACTTAGAAACATATACAAACTTTTTGTAGTTTCAAAAAGCAAATAATAAACATAAAAACACTTGATATATCAAAAAACAGCATTATATTTTTGCATTATTGTTCAGTTCCGTTGTAATATAGTAAGTCAATAAATAGTATCTATCACGAACTAACGCCCTGTTTGGGATAAAATTGTTATCATTTAAACGCGGCGTCTTCAGTTATCAGAGCTAGTGACGGGGCTGATAACACTTCTTGCTTCGATCGAAATTCCTGTGTTCCACTTTATTATTCCTATACGTCATTATATTATCAAGAAATGGCATTCATTAAAAGCGGATAATATGTTAAACAACAAAATTTGGTGCCATTCTAGATAAAATTATTTTCTTTATTTAAGATATATAAAAGAACAACTTTCGCAATGCTAATGAAAAAAAATCGCAAGTTTCAATATTTTACAAGCTTCAAAATTTTACATGCAAGCGACAGTCATCATCTTATTTTAGACCATAGGTATTGTTAACGTTTTTATGATATATTTACAATAAAAATTATAAAATGATTCCGATTTTAAATGATCGAGATTTACAATCAAATAATGCTATTAAGGCAGAGTAAAAACTTTGCATCGGTTTTGTTGCGTACAAAAGTTGAATACTTGCTAGAATTTTACTATAAGTATAGGTACTACTGCATAGTTACAATTATATCATTATCATCAGTACATAACTTATCTTTCACTTATTATTTCACTGGATGAAACAAGAAAATTACATCTTCTTCTTATTAAATATGAACATAAAAGAAATATAATAGAGTTTATTTTATAAATAATCAAATATAAGTGTGTTTTAACATCCATAACGATATCATATAACATGTAATGAGGTCAATTAGCATGATGATGAAAGAAAAAACAAATCGTCAGTTGTACTAAGACATTTAATTTATAAATGGAAAACAAAATATCGCAAATTATTTTAAACTGACCATAAAATAACATTTTTGTTACTCACCATGGTAATAACGCCTGCGAATGCCATCACTTTCATCCCCATGTTGAAATAATCTTATGAAATACTGTCATAAAGATCACTCTATAATCCTAATTCATCATAATGATGAAACTACCTAACGGATCTAACTACTTTCTTATTGGCTTTGACGTCGTTTTAACTAAGTTGCAGCCAGCATCGCACTGCTATTCACAATCTTTCAATTCTCAGGCGATAAGATTTACAATCGAAACTAGATCAGATAGAACCGTCTTTTTTTAATGTTGGCTTTTTGAGAAAATTACAATATGTATTTACGCAATAAATTTAAAATAATACTGCTTTATTCTTATATACATTATGTGATTTTTAAAATAAACACAAATTTTGGTCTATGATTTTATTTAAAGAAGACTTAAACAAGATGTTGTTTTGAGTTAAGTATAGTAATATATATATATATATATATATATGACTATAATGTGTAATTTATAAAAAAGTTGGCCGCCTCTTAATACCTACATCTCTATGTAGAACCTATTTATTCAAATTAACATAATCTCACAGCCGTGCTAAATACATTCTGGAGGACACGTTTATATAAAGGACCAATTTATACCATATAATCAGACTTTGTCCTTTGTCAGTTCTTGTCGGATATTCATTTAATTAATACATAAACCATGTCGCTCCATAAGGTAGTTATTTGGACAATAATTTTACTTTCCAATATCGAAGGGTATAAATTCATGTTAATAAAGAAATATTTTATTTTTACAGATTGTTATATTAGTATTGTGCTACTCATCAATATCCAAGTGCATTGAGGAAAATGAAACAGCAAAAATTACGGGCCCCAAAGATATGTAAGTAAATATATACACATAAATATATTCACCAATATTGGATATTAAATTTGAAATTAATTTTTAAATTTATATTTCTAGATAGCTAAAGTAGTGATGTATAGCTTATGAGCTTATTTCTAAGGTAGATTAAATAAATTTGTTGATATCAAGAGTTTATGTATGTGGTCGATTTTTAAAAAATTATACTGGAATTATAGAATATTTAAATTAAATTTATTACTATATATAAAATATAATAAGAATATTGATGGAACACCAGCTTCTAGAGCTGTGATTTGAACCATTTGATAGTGTATACTACAGTATACATCCAATTAATAAAAATCCCGTACATTTCTTTTAAAAGGTACGTAGTACGAGCCACAGTTTATCAAGTCGGCATTCTCACCAACCGTACAAACGATACCGCAGAGCCGAAAACGTAAGTTATCTAGGAAATCAAATAATACCAACTTTTATCTATCAATATTTACCCAAGCTCTAAACGACAAGTTTAAATATGGCAATAAATTATATGCATAGTTTAGAACCACATTTTTTTACATGTTAATGGTTCTCAATAAATCTATACGTATCGTAAGTCATAAAATCATATCATCCACTGAAACACCAAAAAAAAATTTTTTTTAGCACTATGTTAGTAATTTATTTTTAAATTTCTATGTCAAGCGCGTTGCTAAAAGTATGCATTGTTTGCAAACGATTACTGTCAGCTTTAAAAAACTCTCTTTTATTTGAATTCTTTGCTACCATTTAAAGCCTCTTCTTTTGACGTTCAACTGAGGGAACACTACGAGAGACCATTTTATTTAAAGGGAGCAGGCATGTCTTTCAAAACAAGACGCTGCAAATATTTGTCTCATCAAAAAAGTTTTTAAAATAGCAGACTATGACAGTCTGTCCTAAAGTAAATTTTCATATTTTTTAATGTTAGGTACATTTATGAAATATTTATTTATTTGCTATTTATTAATGTTAAAAACTTTTTCATTTTGGTTTTACTTTCGATTGTTAAAAACTTAATATCATTTATAACTTTGTTTTATTTTTCATCGTGAATGCTTCTTGTTTTTATTACGAGTCAAAAAACCCATACAAGTACTAAATGTGAAAAACATTGACGTATTAAAAATTTTCAGCGGTCGTCAGGAGGCAATAACTCTATACCGAAACAAAGGTTCGGGTATTGATCTTAGTAACATTCATAATCCTTTGTTGACAAACATCACAGCCGAAAAGGTTTTGGGCGTGGCACCCATGTCTAATGAAACAATACCATGGAATAATATCAAACGTTTGATCGTACCACAAGGTGAATTTGAAATTTACGATATATATTTATTTAGAATTTATGGGATGAAAATAACTTTCCAAACTGAAAACAATCATCAGATGGACTTTTACTTTCCTTTACATTATAATGTTTTATGTTTAATAAACTGTCCATTACCTTTTAGATAACGTGAAAGCTTCAAATTTAATTGAAAATAATAATGCTGAATTGAAAGAAGACGCAAAGAAATCAAAACGCGACGTATCAAAACAGCCTGTGCAAATAGAAAGGGGAGCAGCGGTGATTCCTTCGGAGGCTGGAGTTCATTCCATTGGACTGCCGCCCTTGATAGCTTTTAATAAAAATCTTTCCAAAATCCCAGTACCTATTCCTAACATGTCAGTCGTTAGTTACGCCAAAGTCAATACTTTGGTACATTCTCCATAATATACATTGCTACAGCTTATTGTACATCTGCTTTAGAGTAGAAAATGTTTTAGATATCAAGTATGTATCAATAAAGGATGTTCTTTATAGAATAGAAAAATAAAAAGCGTTTTTTATCAAGGAATAAACAATTCCATGTTTCATAAAGTATATTTAAGAGTATCATTTTAATAACCACATTATAACGGCAGAAAAAAATATATAATTTTTTAAAACTTGCTTCATCTACTTGACTTGCAACTTTTCATAGATCAACCAAGACAAAGGCTTCGAGACCGAACCATAGACCGCATGTCCCAATTCGACGCATGCGTGGCACGTTAATGATTTCTCCCCCGTAGAAAATTACGAAATTAATGCAAAGTCGCACGTATTACTTAACTTTAAGGTGCAAAGTTTCTATTGTTTGGATCCGTTGATGGAGTGTTTGAGTCCGGCTGGAGTAAAGTGTCAGAAGAGAAGGCACGGCCACGCTGACGATGAACTCCCCCAAACTAAACGAAAGATGTCCAAGCAGTCTTAGCACCAGTAAAAAGCATCTAAGCACCGAATCCAAAGAAGATTCTCTTGATAACTCCGTAAGTAAAAATAAAACAACATCTATAAATACCTCTAAACAATATTAATTTCTAACTCGTGGCCATGAAACATAATTCTAAATTCAATACAGTGTAGTGTACTCTAGAGTATTGCGTAATATTATTTTTGGACATGTATTTAATTAAATGTATTTAATATGTATTTAAATAAATTTGAATTGCTTTAAACAAAGTAAAATATATTTTCAAAGAAAGCACAAATTATTAAGTAGTAAATTCAAGTTAATCTAAGCTTGTAGCAAAATAAGTCAAATTTCATCTTAATCATGTGCTATCTTAGGTATATTTGAAAGGTGAATGATCGCCCTGGGGTTGTTGACACGAGTCCTTTCTCGTTGCGCGCGGAAAATGTGTTTACCAAATAAGTGGCGCCTCATAATAAATTAATTATTAAAATTTAGAATACTACTTCAAAACTATACTGACAAGTATGTATTTGTCAGTATAGTTTGTAGTTATTTTTCTATGATGTAAACATTTGCGTATTCCTGTTAACCTATAAATTGATATTATAGATACGTGAGTCCATTAAATCGGAGAGGCCAGGAAGTAAAGGAGAGGAGGATTGTCGGCGACGAACTATTATCGTAGAAAAGAAAAATGGTAGCTACGGGTTCACGCTACAGAGCTACGGCATTCATTATAAGAAGGTACAATAAAACATTACATATTCACTCCGCATTTAAGTTATTTAGAAATTATTTGTAATAACTTCATTCCAACACAACCAATAATGAAACGATGATAATAATAATATATATTTTTTAATTTTTATTAGTACTTTTCCTCTTGTTTTCTATGAGACAAAATGTATATTATTTTGTTAAAATTATTTTATAGATAGACAAAAAAAAATTATTTACACAAATGTTTAAATGCCAATCAATATATTGCAGGAACAAGAAATAGAAGTAATTACTTACGTAGATCACGTGGAGGCTGAGGGACCTGCTGCAGCGGCGGGAATGCGTGAAGGAGATGTCATCCTATCAATTAATGGAATAGATGTCGAACGTGCCGACCATGCTTCCATCGTTACTGCCATCAATTCTTGTGACTCACGAATGCGGATCGTTGTCATATTTGAAGACTGTGTCCGTAAAGTGGAGCTTCATCTGAAGTATATTAACATTCAACGCACAATACAAAACAAAATGCGAGAGCTTGAACAACTAAGCATAAAAGAAAGACAAGTCTTTGATTCTAACTGGAAAACGCATAGCTTACCTTCTCAGAAGAAAAAATCGTCGCCGTCTGATATAATATCTGACACCGAAGATAATATTGTTGATAATATTAATAGTACATATTGTCGACCGACATTGTCTAGTGAGAATGTCACTGCCGCCAAACCGCCTCAACCAAACGTGTTCATGTACCAGTACTTAGATCCTAGATACGGCGCATGTATAATACAACCGAATTTACGTACTGGAGGTTTTGTTATCACTGTAGGGTCGCCGAGAAATCGAAGAGATTGTCACCATTATGTAGTTAAAACTTCTAATGAGTGTCATCGTGCGTCAGAAGTATACAAGCCGGCTAACGGAAAGCACACGAAAACCCATAGAAACAGTCACAGTCATGGGTGTGCACCTTGTATGCCGGTCTACAATAATCAGGATGCAAACAGTCTTGAAGCTTATGATCTCGCGAGCCCTTGCTGTGATCCTCACTGTGTGCCTAACTCTAGAAAGAAATTAAGACGAAAGAAAGAATGTTCTAAAGAACATAAAAGAAAAGAAAAATACCAACAAGTCGATAAATCTACTCAAAAACCTGATACTTGTTCTCACTCAGTCACACATCATACCAAAAAAGTGTGCGCATCTGGTCATTGTTCTGGAAGATACAGATATCTTGCGACAGAATCTACTCAAACGAGTCAGTGCAGCTTGCAGTCGTATGCAACCAGCAACGCTACCGCAGCGTGTGATAACTCTGCTTCAAGTTACAGTACCTCTCTAAGTAGTGATACCTTATTCTGGGACAACGAGCGCTCGGAAGTCAAGTCCTCACCAAAGATTCAGTATCAAAGTTCTCATCAGCATGTAAAACCGAAATCATGGGATAATCTAACTACGAAAGCCATAGGAGGATACGGTTTCGGTTATGGATATTTAGACACAAGCGTGAAACATACAAATAGATCGAAGAGTCAGAGTAGAAACCATAGCGGACGTAGTTCTCAAAGTCATCACGACTATCAGCATCACGCATCGGAAAAGCACTCACATAGACAAAACGGCACACCTCACCATTACCCCGTTTATGGAAGAAGCCATAGTCACTGTCCTCCTACCAAATCTACAGAAAGTTTAGTTCTAGTACCTAAGTATCAATTAGAAAGCAGTGGATCAGAAAGTCGATTAGCTTGCGATTGTGCTGACTCCGTTGAATATTATCGCCGAGTTAATTCTTCAAAGAGTCCCGGAGAACCGCAAGCAACCTATTACTCACAACGATTTGTATACCACGGTCATTCATATAAAAAGAAAGATGCAAATCTCAGTTCTGAAATTACAAGATTGTAAAAGATTAGTAAGAAGATATTCTTAAATTTGACACCTGCTTTCTTTGAATTAAACCTTTTTTTATTAGTTTTTATTCGATTTGAAAAAGTATATTTTCTATTCGAACTCGATTTTACTAGGATAACTTATTACTGATAATAGGCCTTAAACTAAAACCAAAGATTTCAATTCTAGTTTCAATGAAAAAAATACAATTCCTAAAGCAATAATTGCAATTAATTATAATAAAGCGAGGATATACACTTAGATATACATTACGAAATCGTCACATAATATTTTTTAAATTATATCGTGTTGTTCGACAAATCGTAGCCCCTTTTGAAACCATTTTGTCAGCTTTATACTCGTTGATTTATAGTTTGGAATAAAAAAATACAAGAAAATGTCTTTTTTTCTAAGTACCTTATAATATCCATTCCACAAAAATACAATCCAGTTGATATAAAAGAAGAAATATTGTGAAATATTTACTAAAAGCAACAATTTTAAATACAACAAATTAGTAGTACTTAGTAGCTTTATAAAAATACCTGTTTATATTTAATACTTAATAACGTTCCAGTGGTACTTTAATGTTAATAAATAGCTACATTTAATAAATATCTACATTTAATAATTAGTATAATAGGAAACAAAATAAATTATTGGAATCCAAATATGCAAATCGAGAACGAATTATTATCTGGATTTGAAGCTGACTTCCTTATGCGCAAAAGCCAGAACTGGCTATTGGGTGATAGCGCCGAAATTAGGTGGGTGAACCGTGTATCTAAAGAGTTCATCAGAGATCGAGGGTCAGTCGGCGGCTAGTGTGCCGAAGCAGCTACAGAAACTGTTCGTCATCCGCCGGAATGCGTCCTGCGCGCGCGTTCAGCCCACCGTGGCTCCTTCAACTTATATCGCTAACCGTTATTACGGTGGCTTCCGCTAAATATCAGGTAAATAATGGCTGTAACCAATTATTTTTAATTGCAATTATTTTTTGGAATCCAAATATTTTTTGGTGTTAACTTTTAAAAAGCGTAATTTTTTTTAACTAAAGTGTTTATGATATAAACATAAGTAAAATAAAATAATATTTGATGATTTTAGGGTACATTGATATGTCAACAACCTCATACAAGGATTTGTATGACCTGGTTCATACAATCGGATGAATGTCAAAACCATAAAAATTTGGAGACTCCTACTTCTATCAGAATACAAGAAAATTGTGGTTTCAGCTGGAAGCCAGCTTTAACACCGCAGCATAAATTTTTTAAGGTAATATCTAGCGTAAATATATTCTTATGCTTCTTTTTATTTTGCAAAGCATTAATATTCAAGAGGTATTAATATTTCGCTGTGCGATTACATATTTCATCCATAAATTCACTATAAACAGAAATTTGGATGCAAAGCGATAAATCTGATAAGTATATAATACAAACAAATTTAATCATGATAGCGATATTAAAACTTTTAAGGAGGATTTAGTCTTCATTATACTTATACGAAAACAATACATTTTATGATTTATAAGTTCACAAATTATATGAATATCTATTTATGAAACTTCATTGTGTATTGTTTTCAAAAGTAAGGGATACTTTGTACGGCCTTGTGAAGAAACTAAACTAATTCTCAATGACGTGTTAATAACTAACCATAATACCTAAATATAATTTAATATAATGTTCATTGTACTCAAATTAAAATGGTAAATTTACAACGACAGTAAAATCAAAGTAGATACGATTGAGACGGGGTTATCTGTCTAATTATAATTTTAGTAATATATGTCAGTATGTTTTAGTTTGCAATCTTCTCCGAGGCTCATTGACCCAAAATAGCAATGTGTAATTTGTGATATGTATATTAAAGACAGTTGATATTGTTGAGAAAATTTTAAAAATTATTTTTTTTTTTTCAAAAAATAACTGTGACTGGTCATTAGGATTTTAAAATATTAAAGAACTATTTTACGACATTTTTTCGCCCAGGTTAAACTTAATTAACGTTTATTATAATAGTTTTAAGTGGGATTATAAATATAAAAAGGGGGTGAACGGTCAAATCAGTAAGACAAAAATTGTTGAATTATTCCATTTACCTTTTGCTCTGCACATTTCTTATTAAACGTTGCTTTATTTGTGTTAGCTTTTTTTAAATATTACGCAATTAAAAATTATTAATATCTACTAAATATAGTGTTTAAATTTCATCTACATTTAGTAAACGAAACAAAATATGTAATCAAATTAAGGATAATGGTAAAATAATTAATATATTTCTTGACAAATCCACTCGGATTTCAAGATAACTTTCGAATGCATGGTTTTTTAAATAATTAAAAGACATAGTCAAAAAATGTTCTAACATACGTGTAACTTTCAGTACTGTCCATTTTGGTAACTACATATTTAATAGATACAGCCACTATTAACATTATTTTCAATAAATGTTGTTTTATTGTTCATACGTTAACAAGATTATGACAATTTTAATACATAATAAGCAGGCAAGGGACAGTTTAATACTAAGCTGCAATTTTATCTCCTATAAGAATACAAAAGATAAGTTATGTTGATGTAGCAAGGCCTATCAAACTTTGATTGACCCCTAATATTACAAAACGCTAACATTATAACTATGAGCTGAATATTTTTTCGTGTCAAGGTTTTAAGTATTTTCGTCATTTTGTGTTTATTTTCAATCCAATATCGATATATTTATTTTTAAAGATAAAACGATCAGATTGGTTAATTCTTTTTTGTTTCATGTATTAATTTTTCACTTAATAAACTTATTAATTAAAGTAAAGTATGAAACGATATAATTATATCACATATGCCATATCATGATAATGATATGATATGATAATGATATCATCTCTACCGAAAAATCTTTATTACATAACGTAATTAAAGTGTACCCACCGGTAATTAATGAATTGTAAACATTTTTCAGGTATTGAGCCTTAGTAAAACAAAATCATGGAAAAGGTTACACTGTAAAAGAATAATTATGATCGGTATGTTCTTGGACTGGAAAGAGATAAGCTATGCATTGGGTGATACAGTAAGAGTTCGGCGACAAACTTTTGTTCCCAAAGGAAGATATCGTGGACAAACACAATCACAATATTTAGCAATTGATGGGGGAAGTGGCAAAGAAGAGGGCAAAGCTGAGGCGCATTCTGCTGCAGACTCATCTAGAGCAAGTGTCAGTGAGTAAAATTTATATTTGAGTAGTGAGCATTTTACCCATTTTGTTTTTATAAATTAGCTGTACAAAGCAGTAGAGGCTATATACAAATGCGGCGGGCACAAAAAGCTTAAAATTTATTTAAAAATTGTATAACGGATGTGTCCAATTATTTCAACAAAATATTTTATACCTATTAATTAACATCCCTCTTTTTTATTATTTGAGGTGGAAATAGCGGTATGGGACAAGCTCAAAGTCAATCAATTTACGATCCTAATTGCGAAGATTGCTTTTCTGCCAGAGAAGGTAAAGATGAAGCAGAAAACCTTAAACATCCAGGAATTACCAGACCTGGAGGGAATAGGTTTGGAATAAGTAATGAATGGCCCGGTGTCAATCAAGGAAAGTATATCCCAGACCAAAATATTTACAATCCTATAGGTGTTTCTCACTTATCTGGACCGCAAGGGCCAAGTTATTATGGACCTAGCTCAAGAACTGATGGTTATGGTCCAACAGGATCGAATGAAAAAGGAGGTTATGGTCCAAATGGAAATTATGGATCACCCGGAGGGTACAATAAAAATCAATACCAAGGAAAACAACCTGGGTACAATTACAATAGACCTGGAAATGAAGTTGGGAGTAATTACATCCCTGATGGAAATAATGGTTATGTGGAACCAAACAGAAATGCAGTTAACAATATCTATATGCCTCCTAGGGGTTCTAAGGAGATAGGAACATTACCAGGGCAGAGAATAACACCGGGACAAGGAATGGGACCTGGACAGAGTATAGGACCTGGTCAAGGAATGGGACCTGGACAAGGAGTAGGACCAGGACAGGGAATGGGACCAGGACAGGGAATGGGGCCTGGACAAGGAATGGGGCCTGGACAAGGAATGGGGCCTGGACAAGGAATAGGACCAGGCCAGGGAATGGGGCCTGGACAAGGAATGGGGCCTGGACAAGGAGTAGGACCAGGGCAGGGAATTGGGCCTGGACAAGGTGTGGGGCCTGGACAAGGAATGGGGCCTGGGCAAGGAATGGGTCCTGGACAAAGTGTGGGGCCTGGACAAGGAATGGGGTCTGAACAAGGAATGGGGCCTAGACAAGGAGTAGGACCAGGGCAGGGAATTGGGCCTGGACAAGGAATTGGGCCTGGACAAGGAGTAGGACCAGGGCAGGGAATTGGGCCTGGACAAGGTGTGGGGCCTGGACAAGGAATGGGGCCTGGACAAGGAATGGGGCCTGGACAAGGAATGGGGCCTGGACAAGGAATGGGGCCTGGACAAGGAGTAGGACCAGGGCAGGGAATTGGGCCTGGACAAGGTGTGGGGCCTGGACAAGGAATGGGGCCTGGACAAGGAATGGGGCCTGGACAAGGAATGGGGCCTGGACAAGGAATGGTGCCTGGACAAGGAATGGGGCCTGGACAAGGAATTGGGCCTGGACAAGGAGTAGGACCAGGGCAGGGAATTGGGCCTGGACAAGGTGTGGGGCCTGGACAAGGAATGGGGCCTGGACAAGGAGTAGGACCAGGGCAGGGAATTGGGCCTGGACAAGGAATGGGGCCTGGACAAGGAGTAGGACCAGGGCAGGGAATGGGGCCTGGACAAGGAGTAGGACCAGGGCAGGGAATGGGGCCTGGACAAGGAGTAGGACCAGGGCAGGGAATTGGGCCTGGACAAGGTGTGGGGCCTGGTCAAGGAATGGTGCCTGGACAAGGAATGGGGCCTGGACAAGGAATGGGGACTGGACAGGGAGTGGGACCAGGGCAAGGAATGGGGCCTGGACAAGGAATGGGGCCTGGACAAGGAATGGGGCCTGGACAAGGAATGGGGCCTGGGCCAGGTATGGGACCTGGACATGGAATTGGATCAGGGCAAGGAATGAGACCTGGACAAGGAGTGAGACCTGGACAAGGTATGGGACCTGGACAAGGTCTGGGACCTGGACAAGGTCTGGGACCTGAACAAGGTCTGGGACCTGGACAGGGAATGGGGCCTGGACAGGGAGTAGGACCAGGACAAGGAATGGGACCTGGACAAGGTGTGGGTTCTGTACAAGGAGTAGGACCTAGTCAGGGTATGATCCCTGGACAGTTAATGGGGCCTGGTCAGGGAGTCGGACCTAGACAGGACACAAATAAAAGCCCAGGACAAGGGCCTTCTGGATTTGGTGGATACGAGCCTCAACAATTTGGACCTTATCGTAATAATGTAGGAAATAACTACATACCTCAGCAAAATAACCTAGCAAATTGGCCTATAGCATCTGGTCCATACGCGGGCCCCGGAGGAAATAATTATTACTGTTGTTTTGTGCCTAACTCAGGAGCCACTGGTAATTTACATACTAATAATTACGGAGAGATACCGAATGGACAATTAGGAGGTGTTATCAATGGGCAATATGGGACAGGTACTGGACGGAATCAACCAAATATACCTGGTCAATATCAGCCAGGAGTAGGTTCCACACAAATATCTTCACCGAATAGTCATATAGGCGAAAATTCAAATATACCCTCGTCTATCACACAGTACGGTACGGAAGTAGATAAAAGCACGTCTCCTGGAGGACAATCGGGAGGTACTTTCAATAACGGCATTCAACCTAACAACTATGGGAGTAATTCCCGAGGATTAATGCCCGATGGACGTTTAGATATTAATAAGCTCACTAACCCGAATAAAGGAAGTCAGTACGGCCCCGGTTCAAACACATACAACTTACCAAATGGAAAAGTAGGGATTGGTTCTGGGTCCCCTGGTTTATATGATAGAAATATAGGAAATTTACCAAACCAACAATATGGAACAATAAACACTAACCAACCCTCGTCACCTGGGGGACAATATTACGGGAATTCAAATGTTCCAGACAGTCAGTACAATTCAGGGATGGGAGTAAGGCCTAGTCAATACAATGGAGCAAGCAATCCCTCTTTACCTTACGGAACTGGAAATCCTACTTTGCAAAATATACCTGGCGGCCAAATTGGTACTGGAACTTATGGTGTCCCACACCAAACTGATACTCAATATGGGCCTAGTAACAACGGGGGCATTTCTTTACCTGGACAAGAATATGGTAAAACTCCAGGTAGCAATTCATATGGTACAGACAATGCTCTCCAACAGAAACCGCACACTTCCGGCAGACCAAACGGACCTGACGCAACTAATACTGGAATTGTACCTGGAAGCCAGTTCGGAGGAGGTAATTTAGGTGGTCCTGACAGCCCTTACGGATTAGGAAAAACAACAATGAATCAAGTTCCAACAGAATTTTCAGGAGGACCTCACATCCAAGGACAACCATATGGGTCTAATATCGGAAACGGGCCAAACTACGGTATGGTCAATACACCTTATAATAGTAATGGACCAAGTGGATCCTATCACGGTAATAATGTAGGACAAGACAAATCCTATAATAATAATGGCATCCCAGATGGCGGACGTGGTGCTCCAAATGGACCGTACAATCAAGAAGTAAGTGGAAAATATATATATTTTTATTTTTTGTCCATGATAACAGTAACTCTAATTTGTAAAAATTTCGCAAAAATCAATACTGAACAAAACTTTAAAACTTCATCATAATTTAATGTTATTTATGTCCATATTTTTAGTAATATTCCTTTCTTATAATATTAATAAGTATCTTTAATAAAATACAGTTAATATAATAAATATATTTTGGTTTTTCTTTTAGGGGAGAGGCGTACAAAATCCTGAGTACGGCGGTATGACATCATTTAAAATTCATTTTTAAAACCATGACTTATTTTTAAAATTAATGTACCTTTTTTTGTAGGAGTACCACAAAACTACATAAATCCCAATACTATTGACGGAGACGACTCAGAAGCAGAAGCTAGTGTTGCTCAAGGCGTAAATGGTACTGTTGCAAGTGCTTCATCTAAAGGAGGTAATGACAAAGGTCGAGCCCAAACAAACGTGCATGGTACTTACACTGGCACCGGATCATTCCAAGCACAAGCACAAATTACTGGTGAAAATAAAGAAGCTCAAAGTGAAGTAAGTGGAGGGAAAAAAGGAGCTTCAAGTACGGCAACAGGCAGTGGAAGAAATAATAAATCACAGGCGAGTGTTCAACTTGGTTCTGAAACAGGCTCAGTCCAAACACAATCGCAGAGTAATGGTGTGATGCATTCTTCAAATTCTCAAGTACAAGGAAGTGTAAAAGGTGGTATGGCAGATGCTCAAGCTAGAGGTCCAGGAAGCACCTCGTCTCAAGCACAAATCGGTTTCACACCATACAAAGATAAAGATAAGTTCAATCACGATCTTCAAAAGACACCTTTTGCAGGCGGAGGAGTTGCATCTGCACAGTCTAGTGGCCGCACTGGTCAATCACAATCACAACTTCACGGCACTTTTAAGTACGGCATAACATATAATGGAGCCGCGCAATCAGGTGCCAGCCTTGACAAAGATGCTGTGTTCCCAAATAGATTATCTTTTGATAAAATAAATGTCTTTGATGAAAATGAAAAAAACATTAATGTTGATATTACCGAAGTACCGCAATCTCTAAATACTGAAACATCACCCAATGTAGAACCTTCATCTACACCTGACGCGTACTTTCCTACAAATGAAGAGGAGTTAACCACAACAGAAAATGTTTTGGATGAAACAAATAATTCCGATATTAGCTATTCTACCCATACACATTCGGATCATCACAAAACCGATTATTCCGACCAAGTAACACCAAGTGGACCAACATTATCGGGTAGCAAAAAATCTTTTTCAACCAGTTTTAATTCAGGTACAGACTATGAATTAACAACTGACAAAGAAGAGTTGCCACCTGATAACTATGACACGGAAGGCAGCTTTGAAGGTAATGTAGAACCTGAAGTAGATCAAAGCGAATATTCTAACTATGATGAATATACAAGAGAAGCTCCAACTCACCAATCTCTTCTAAGTTCTAATAGAAAACCATTAGATGTAAAGCAATCATCGGGGGGAAATACCCAGCACATTGTCATAGGGTCCCTAAAAAATCATGATGCTGAAATCATTCAAAAGAATTCCGAACGTCCAGATGAGAATAGGGTATATCAACCAGGCGAGCGAGTACCTGGTACTGGTGGATATACCATACCGTTAGGATTTACAGGGAGCGTTAAATCAGTGGCATCTAAAGACAAAACTTATGTCGTGGGTTCTAGGGATTCCCCATCTCAAGCACAAACAGTAACATTAACCCCAGGCATGGGTAAAGTAAGATATAATATGTATCCCCCAGCATATAGTAAACACGTTATGCCCAAGAATCTTCGATCGCTACATAGCCCGAGGGACGATAACAGATATGTATCCGTTTCCAAATCTGTAACTAGAGATCTGGATAATGAAGATAATATTCGCAAACAATATTCCCACACCTATTACACAAAATCATCATCATGTGGATATTTTACATTTACTTGCACGATGGTGAGTAGCGCCGAAGGACGGAAAAAGGTTTGTAAACCGAAAATGCCTACAAACCCTGATGGAACACCAATAAGGTGTTGACGTAAATTTGACAAAAGAGACTCTAGTATTTAAATAAATTTAATTATATTTTAAGAAATCTTTAATCTATTAAGATAATTCTTCATAATAATTAGTTTGTATTACATATCTTCTAAATGCATATTTTATAAACTACAATGAGACTGCAACAATTATAATATGTATATATTTTTTAAAGAACGAAAACAATTTTACTTTATAACTTTACATTTTACCTAAGTGTATAATTTTTAATAATGTAAATAAAACTGTTCTATAATTAAAAACCGAATACTTTATATAAAACTTATTTTTCAACCGAATTTATACAAATTAGCAATTTTGAATAATAAACATGTTTTATATGCTCTTCTCTTTTATTGTTTTCCTTTCCTTCATGCATTATTTCTTTTAGAGTAAGATAGGTACATATCTCTAATTTTTTTTTTCTATAAAAATTAAAGACATTAAGAAGGGTTATTTAGTGGAATGAAAGATTTTTAAGATGATTTCATACAATTTATTGATATAATTTAAGTACATTTTAAATATTGTTTTCAAATATGTAATCATCATCACACCGACAAAAAAACTTGAGTCACTTGAAACTTCATTTCGAATTACATTTAAATAACTATTTGAATGTAATAGTTTTTTTCAAATCTCTTAGTTTCTAATTTAATATTGGCGCTAAAATTATCAATTTAAGAAATATTTTATATAAGGAACGTACGAGTCTTTCTTTGATATAAACATCTACAATTCATACAATTAATACATGTATACGAACACTGAGAATAATAAGGTCACATCTAAAGGAATGTTTTACACTTGTACTATAAAAGAAACTATACGTTGTGACATCAAATAGTATATCAAGACTGGGTTAAGATTGACAACAGTACAAACTTTAATAAATAAAGTAATCACTATGTAAAACAGGTTATAATCTCACAAAATATTTCATTTACTACCACTAGAATCTATAAGGAATGATAAATGCATTTCACTATCTAAAATGAACACCAACAAATTCAGGGAGGATATATATTTTACTCGTATTGAAGTAGAGAACGAATTCACACTTAATAATGTATATCAATAAATCTTTTCTTTATACACGTGAAAGTGAAATAGATATATTTTTAATAATATATGGATAGAGATACAGCAATTACGAATATCTTTATTAATTGCAACTATTTAAATACATACTTCAATAGACAAAATTGTCTAATATCAATGCTAATAAAAGAAAAAAATTTAAAGCAGAAAATGGCAATACGGGCGATTTATAATCTTAAACTATTAAGACGTAGTTATAAGTATAATGACAAAACATTGGCTGCATTCTCAGATATGGCTAGATATGGATGAACAGAAATTTCTTATGATCATTGTAAGCGTATTGATTAAGTATTTTCTTTAAAAAGACATTCCTGATAATATAAAATGAAAGAAAACAGATCAAAATAATACGAGTGCTACCAAATTAGGTACACATATGAGATTTCAAAACGTCCTAACTATAGAGAAGCGAACACATCCGACACAAAACAATTGTATATAATCAGTCTATGATTGGAATGTATCGTACATTACTAGAAACGTGACTATTAAGATATTACTTCCACTAGATTACAATTAGCTTGTTTTACTATATTTTAATGAAATTTAATTTTAAACACTTACGAGTATCCCGTTAACACGTTAACGTTTAGTCATGATTACATTTTTATTTTATTACTAGGGGATCCTATTTTTTAATATTTTTGAAAAATGTAAGTGACAGTGCCGTTACACTTAAAAATTAAATTATAACGTATAAAATCATAAAAAATAAAACTATGTACAATATTTTTTGAAACAAAATAAAAAAATAAATGGCAAGTGTAATAAGGTGACTGTAATACTAATGAATTTGGTACATGAAATGCTTTCGAAGAATTATATAAGTTTTAAAAAAATTTCTTTGTGAAAGCATGTCTATATGTTAGGTACACTGTATCGAAGTATTATCAGAGAGGTAGGTAGGTAATATTTTTTTTTAAATGCATTAATAAACATGTGCTGGATTCTAACAGACGGAAAATAAATATTGGACCAAGCTAATATGTATCTGTTGTCTTAAAACACTACATAGAAAATTCTATGTACTACAAATATAGACAATATCTATAGTAAGCAAGTATTAAATTATAGAGTAATATAAATTATAACTCTTCTCACCTCAATATAGTTTCATACAAAAAAAATTGTTTCCCTATCATAAATACATCAAAATCATAAAATTAATTAAGTACCTTTGCGACTTGGTGGGTTTCAGGATTGTTCTGGTCACATCAAACACATTTTAAATACTAGGAATAAAGCTTTACAAAACCTGTGTTAAAAAAATAATAGAAACAACCTAAAGTATTTTCAACCTTATTCAAAATATAATTTTCTTAATATAATTATATCTAACATGGCAATGATTGTAACCCAAGTATTTAAACAATATTTCATGTTTAATAGCACATATATTGTACAGAGAACTAAACTCCATTCATATAAATATTAATAATAATTTATTATGGATATATTAGAATACTTTCAGGTTAAAATTTCAATTAATCAACCAGAGTAGACATTTTCAAAGAATTAGAAAAATTTTGTAATAGGTAGATCTATATTGTGAGAATATGAAATATCAGTATTTAGTAGCTCATAAAACGTATCTATATTAAAGTATATAAGAAAATTATTAGCTTAAAACGTTTCGATTAGAGATATCTATTTTAAATTAGAAATTATATACATTTATAAAAAAAATTAAGTACAAAAAGATTACAAACTTGAGCAAAGCCATTCAACCTTTGTATATGAAAATATTCTTATTTTCAAATGAGTTAATAATAGTCACGAAAACGTGTAATATCTCGAGTGGGTCAGTAGACGTCCTTTGAACTAACAACATATCAAAATAATAATAATTTTAGAATCGTATAAGAGACCACAACAATTTCTGTCGCTGCACTGGGATTATTCACAATCTATATTATTGTGCACATTAAATACTCTCAACAGCTTTAAACAATTGAGAAATTACCGTTAAAATAAATTGTCATACGTTGCAATAAGAACTGTTTTTGATTGCAAAAAAAACAATAATGAGTCCTATTTAGAGAGCAAACATATTAAAACTAACACACACATACTCCGTGATATCACACAGTCTATAAATTAATCACAACACACCGTTCAAAATTAATATAAAAACATACAATAGCCACACTGAAGCATAATAAAAAAAATCTTAATGAGATCATTGACAAGTAAAAATAAATTTTGAGATTCATTAAATGGCTCAGATTGAATACTGATAGGTAGAGGAACTCACGTACGACCTAGACATTCGCTTATTAAATTTCGATACTATGTACCTATGCTTGAACTAAAATCTCATTCATAATAAGACGTCCACATTGTAAGCGACTCGATTAAATTACCTTTCTTTTTGTTTAATAAACACAATTTACAATATCGTACAGTTTGAATTATTGTCCTTCCATAATATCATGGATGTTTCATAAAACTGAACATTATCGTGGTCCTAAACGTTTTTCATTCGTTCAATAATAATATCAAACGGTTCACAACTTATTCTTGAACGTAATATATTAACATTCCGTAGAGATAAAAATAATTCTTATGGACATCTAATTATGAATCAGTGTTATATGTAAGTTAAATGTAAAATTTATTAAAATATATTAAACGTATCCATAAAAAGTTCAACATATTAAAAGTATATCTTACATTGTTAGTAAATAATATATCATTTCATAATATACCTAATGCCGTTTCAATTCATCTATTCGTCGTGTCATCTCTCTCGTCTTACGATCAGTACCGTCATATTCGTGTGAAGTTCCATAATTAATTCTTATTATATTAAAATGTTGACATTTACATTAATTTTTGTACTTACTTTAGATGCCGTTTAAGATTTAATTAAAACAGAATCAATTCTATATTTAACAAGTGTCACAATTCAACCACTCGTATGAAGACATTAAAAAATAAAGGTAGGATTATATCCTACTCAAAATTATCTCACTCCAGATATTTGATGAAGCATCTTCAATACAATTGTCATGTCTTTATGATGAATTACATAAAACAGACTGCTCGCTTAAACTTTATAACCGAGTGGCTTTAATTCACACATTATTAATTAACAGCTCGTTTTCATTTATCAGAAGTGTTAAAAATTTGTGCTACATGTCACATATCATGTTATAATGATAATCTTTTCAGTACAGAACTTTCAAGGATAGCAGGGTCAGCGGGCACGTCAGCGCATATCAGGTAAATAAGAAGGAATGATTTCAAAAACCTTAATCGCTCTAACTTAAATGCAGACTTGAAGATTACCAAATATGACAATCAGACGTAATCTTCATATAATTTTAAATTTCTTAAGTAGCGCCTCGTAATCTCTTCAGGCGCTCTTTTTCGAGATGATCCACTGGAGGCTCACGTTCGAACGACGTTAGTTCTAGAGCTGTAACAAACAAGTTGATACAGCTTTCCTTTGTCGTATATGTGAGTATTGTACAATCGAACTATCGGATATATAATAGTCACCGAGTTCAGTGAGCGATGGTCTATTGCTCAAGAAGCGCCAGGCGGGTAGATGTAGGTGTGGTGGTGGGGGGGCAGTCACCGGTGGACCGTCCACTAGGAGACGTCTTGAAGCCAGCTGGGAGGCCACGTGACGAGCGACAAGCGTACACTTGTTGAAGTTCACACGGTTACCGGACAACCTAGAACGGATAGTCACAGATTATAATCATACGACACTAAATTTGACATAAATCCATTCAAAACTCATGACTTAATTACAATTTATAGCACAGAATGTATGCTCTGTTTCAAATATATCAAAAGATTTAACAATTCAATGGACTAAAAACAAAAATTAGTTCAAATAAGTAGATAAACCGCGTTAGACTTATAAAATAAATGTGTTCAAGGTGTTTGATGTAAACCTAAATCCTAAATAAGTTGGTGAAATAATTGACTATTGGAATAACCGCCATATAATGCAGAAACAACCGTCGGTTACTTACTTGGTTGGCGACCCCTGGTTAGCGAAGTGCAGATCTCGGCAGGTGACGGACAGCAACGGTACAGCCGTCTCTGTAGGAGCAGCTGCCAAGGCCGCACGATACCTTACCACAACAATATATATAAGTGCCTTAGCAACAAATCTGGCTGTTCGGGATAATAATTAGTAACAAATATAAATATAAAAACAAGTGACTGTTAAAATTATATTAATTTGTAGCTATAATCTTAAGGTTGAAAATTTTCACAAAAACTACAAACAAGTCTTCCCAATATATATCATGAAACGAATTAATAATTTAAGTTACGAAATATTCAGTCAGAGATATATAAGATAGAAGATAATTTAGATGTTATATTAATTTACCTGGCATGATTTCCACTGGGTTCAACGCACAACTCCAATTGCCGCAACTGTTGACCGCAGACAGCGCTCGTACGACTCCACTGAAACAATAATTTTAACTTAATACATCAATAAATATACTTACTATAGATATACTAGAGACAACATTTAATTTATGAAAATTATGAGGAATAAATCGTTGACAACAAATTGGTAATTAATTTGACTGATTTTCTGATAATATAACATTTTAAATAAGTACATTTTAAATGAAAAAAAAATACTTTTGTTTGAATTGAATGCATTTCGTTGATAATACAAGTCGAATAGATTTCTAGATACTTAATTTTGATAGGTATATTAATACATGTCATTTAATTTTCAAAAAAAATATAATATTCTTTAGTCTTTTAAATATGTCATACTTGTTAAAACCAGACAAAAAGCAGATTTTTTCCAATGTTTCTTTTCTTTTGTTAAATATTTGTTTTATTTAATATATTACTGAGTCTTAAAGTCTAAGTGAACGAGTCTTTAGAAAAAATAAATAAACGTTTAAGTGTTAATTAAAACTGTACTTAATAAACCTATAATTAAAGTTGAGAGTTTTTCACATTCACTTAAATATTATAAGGAAAGGTTAGCTTAATCTGCATCAAAGCTTAAACATACAAGAGAAATTAAAATAGGAGATCGTAGTATTTTAGCATTGTATTTAATAAGACTTATTTTATTCATGTCAAATCCTAGAACTCTTCACTATTTTATAAGTCCTTTTAGATGTTATTTATTTCTGCCAGTTTCACAGTTATCACTCCGAATGTCAATCGATCTAGTAGTTAAAGCATTTATATATAAAAATATATAAATAATTTAGTAATATGTATAATAACCGTTTTCTTAAGCCTGGTGATGGGAGCCATGTTGAGGGCGCTTATGATGGCCATTAGTGAATTGAAGTTGCCAAGGTTGAAGCACTCCCTAGCTGTCATCACCCACTGCTCCATCACACGGGCCCGATATTTGCTCTTTACTGCCTGATATGAAAACACCAAATATATAAGAATATATACATAACACATAAATATGTTAATATTTATGTGTTATGTATATGTGTTATGTATACAAATCAGTGGTGGCTCAGTGGTTAAAGGGCCCGCCTCTCGTCGCCGAGGGCGCGGGTTCGATCCTGACTCGGGCAAGTATCAATGCGATTTTTCCGAATCATATGTACTTTCTAATAGTATTTAGACATCACTGATTAATGTTGATTCCCAAAAGAGGGTTGATGTCAGGCAGGCGGCCGGTCGTAAAAACAATTAGCCAAAAACTATTCACAACATGTAAGGCAGACCCTGGCTGTAGCTGGGAAATTGCCAGGTAGAAGAAGAAGAAGACATAAATATGTTAATATAATATTATCTACACTAAAACCATGAGGTTCAAAGAAAGTACATCAAAAACCACGAATGTTATTTGAAAATAAATTTCCAAGTCAGTCTGCCGAAGTCATAAGGAATTTTCATTTGTTACGCTACATTGGATAAACTGAAATAACCGTATCCCTAAAAGTAATTCTGAAGAAAATTGTTTACCGAACCACTTAATCTAGCCGTGAAACCACAGATCACGGTTTAAGAATTCATGTAGCAAGTTGAAACTATTCTTAAATATTTTAAACAAAGCTGGAGTAAACATATATTGAGAAAAATCTACAACAAAATCTTGGCTGATTAGACAGAGATTGTAACTTAATTATCATACCTTCAGGATGTCCGTAGCAACCAGATAGCTGAGTCTATTGAACCAGTCAGCATAAGCTTCTAAATTCTTGGTGCTCTTGGTCTCTGCGTGATGTAGACTGATGCTAGATGTTGAGCTCTGAGGCTGCGATGGTGCGAACGTTTGAACAAACTCCTCCGGACCAACGAACGAGAGCCTATGAAGCTCCACTATGGTCAGCTGGTTCGCCAACTCGACTGGACTCAACCCGAGTGTAAGAATATCGCCCTACAAATAACAAGCATGTAGCATTTCTGATAAGACCTTCGTTTATAAATAAATAATGATTACTACTGCTTTTTCAATCATATAGATTTCGGAATTCTATTGGTCACATATGGTTAGGTAGAGAGAGGAGCTTAGACAGTGGAGGTGAGCGTATAACGCGCGTTAGATAAGGGACCCCTTAAACCTACACTTGGGTCGCAAGTCCTAGGCACTGTTGAAGCTCCTCTCCCTGCAACGCGATGGACCCGGCACCCGCACGGTTAATCGCTTAACAATTAGAATGTCCAAAAATCGCTAAGATATTTTAGTAAACTTTTTTTTGTACTTCTTTAAATCTACTTAAATTTTTTTATAGCTCTTGAATTAATTGTTTTATAACTCACAGGTGGAAGTTGATCGCAGTTAGCAACTTGCGGCACATCCACCAGTGTCTCCTCATACTGTTCCAGGGCTGTCAGTTTGTCCAACAAGCGTTCTAACATACTTGAGACCTCGGATCTAATAGAAGACATATGTTCCGCGGCACATCTAAAAGAAAAATTAAAATTGCTAAGGATATAATTTGCAATTCAGAAGAAAATTTTATAATATCAATATAAAAGCTAAGTATACGAAAGTTAGTTACTTTAATCAAACTATCTCGGAAGAGAAGTTTTCCTTTATAATTTTCAAACTTGCAAAACTAAGTCTTTGGAGCAGTATGGTCAGTTCCTCCAAGTTAGTATCTTTATTAATTAAGTATATTTTACACGGATGAGTTTTTTTAGTAATATAAAATTAAAATAATATTATGTTTATATAATAGTTACATGCGATCAACGGTGTGTAACCGAAGATTTAAGTGACTTCTAAATTCAGTTAATCCACTATTGAAACATGAAAAAACTCATTATCTTCAGAATACAAAGTGATTATTGACAGATATAGGACTTAATCATATTAAAACCCGACATTTCTCAGAAAAATAGTATAATCAAACACGGGTATACTTGACAATAAACTGTTAGATACGTCTTCGCGTATAAATGAATTAAATTGAAATGTACTGTGTAATAAAATATTTATGGTTTCCATTATTTTATAAATTATAGTTAACTGGGCATTTGCTTTGATTAAATTAGAATGTACAGCGCTATACAACAACTTTTAGTTTGCAACGACTTCTTTTATGGTTTATCCGATGCTAGAAGGTATTAGTTACTGTTATACTTAATCTCATTAAGTTATTACTTCTTCCTTATCTCTATCAAGTGCTTGAATAGCTTCATTACATCATAACGCATTGTCAACATTTATATTTTATTATGCCGCCAAACAAATGTTTTTAAGACGGTTTCCTGCCCACTGACTCATGCAGAACTAAGTTATTTGATAAGGAGATATAAAATTACAACGTATAAGCATAAGATTATATCTTACTAATTTTTACTCGCAACAATGTATATCAAAACTCTAGATACGACTTCATCTAAAATACAACCCTCATACCACGTTGCAGAGGAAACTTAAGGAATTGCAGCACAAATTTTAGCCTATATTTTATATATCATACTAAAAACTATAGTAAAATTTCATCAATATCTGTTATGTAATTTTGAAAGGACAACAAACATATATACACCTACAAAATCTTTCGCATTTCTAAAATTTGTACAATTCAAAGTGATTGAATTATAATTTCAGAATGTAAATGTGTTAATGTTTCTCCTATGTTCCACAAATTACCGGTTGAATTTAGATATCTATAAATGTTGAGTAACAATTAATGATGCATCGAAACGTATAATCAAACTTAAAAGTCCATAAATTAAGTAGTACGAAGCTAATCGGATCAAAATAAATTCCAGGGCCATTCTCTAGCGGATTTATTATATCTGGCCAACTAGAGACAAAAGGAATACCAGAAAGAATATTATTGAGATAAGCATTTAATTATTGCCTTACTTAACTGAGAACTGCAAGCTATATTTAATTGAACAAAATGAAATTAATATTTGTTTTCGTTTAATAAATAAACTTTATAGAGACTTCATTATCGAAGCTGAGGCTTCAGAAAATATTAAGTCGGTATTTAAATATATTAAATGGTTGATTTTATTAAGAAATATTTTTTTGCAAATGTTGTTTTTAGTACCTATTAGTCTGTATAAATTTCTAGTAATATAACAAAGAGCTTGACGTGTCGGATATAACTGGCAGATTTTCATTAACTGATCTGGTTTCCTTTCTGAAGATTATTACTATGGTTAGTCTATTAGTCAGTCATTACTATTACTATAGTTAGTTATATTTTTTTTTAATTTTTAATTTTACTACTATTACTATAGTTAGTTATATAGTTTATTACTATCGTTATTCTATCAATTTTGTTCGTTCGGGTTGATCCGGTATGACCAACTTAAATAGGTAGGTGGTAATTGTCCCTCAGAGGGTGTAAGGGATTTTGAATATTGTTATAATGAATATGAACTTCTTAATTGATAGTGTTTATATATTTTTGAATTTTATTTGGAAATAAATATTTTTCAAACGGGTTTTTATAGTTTTATTAATTACATCAAATGATATAATGTCTCTGAAAGTATACATATGAATGTGAACTGAACTTTGAAACGATAATATTTGATGGTAAAGCTTGTTTTTTGATACATTTAATATATTAACTGTTCAATTAGAATCAATTTCATGTGTGAATAATGAAATAGGAAACTTCAAAAATTTGTGTGGGTGGAAATATTATGGCTATAACCAGTTCAGAGAAGTAATGCTGTTATCAAAATGCATTAATATATTTATAACAATAATCGAAATATGATTATCTGTGTAATTTTAAGAATTAAAATCAATAATATTGCCAATAAATTAAACGAAACCTTTAGATATATAGATAAAAACGAGGAACAAAATTGAACTGGAGTAAATCGTTTTCACATGAAAATATTCTCGTTAAGCATTTGAAATTACATTTGTATATTGGATGTTGAGTATGTTACATACTATCTAGAATATATTTTCGATATAATCCTATTTTTTAGAACAAGACAGTACCGGGGGGAATTTTGTGATGTCTTTCCGGCTGCCACAAATACTAGAGTTAGTCTTAAAACTAATTTAAAAAAAAACACGAATCAAAACATTTTTCTTAACTCATAACATTTAGGTTACAAAAATTGCTACCGTGTGGAGTAGATGATAGTATCAGACTGAGAAGTACAGGAGGTGGTAGAATACTGAAAATTTGAAGAAATGCAAAATATGTCACAAATAGAAACTGTAATAGAACTTATCAGTCAACAGACGATAATATAGTGGATTCCAAAATCCAAAATAAAAGGGAAATACGTAATAGCCGATAGATTAAATACTACTAATATTATAATGGCGAAAGTTTGTGAGTGTGTGTGTATGTTTGTTACTTCTTCACGCTCAAATGGCTGAACCGATTTAGATAAAATTTTGTATACAGGAAGCTGACGTCCAGGAATAACATATAGGCTACTTTACATCCCGGAAAACCCGAAAATCCGCGGGTAACACCGCGGGGCGCAGCTAGTCAAATAGTAAGTCTAAGCTGAAAGGTTATTTCTTCCTAACCGTCTATTTAATGTCAAACAGTTGATTATAGATCAACGGTACCTCTGAGTGATGCTCCTGACGAGGGCCATGACGCGGTCGTCGCGGAAGTCGTATGGAAACATGGCGGTCCATTGGCTGAGAACACGGACCAGTGACGTCATCTCCGTCACCTCACGATCCATCAGTTCCTTCATCTCGTTCTTACCCTGCACAAACAATAACTATAGACACCAAACGAATCTATAAACGGTGCCAAATAGATGACTGTGAATCGAAATACTTTATTGAAATCAAATATATCACTTGTTCGGAAAATTACTCGCTATTTGAGTACAGATTTATAGGCGAATTGTTATAGTACTTATGAAGGTATGTGTAACTGATTAAAGAAAATTTTCCACACAGGGTCAACGACTTTCTAAATTATCTGTGAAAGATTTGAAAAGAATAGTTGCAATAGTTGGCATGAAGTCGATTCTTTAATATACACAGAAAAATGAACTCAAACACTACGAAACCGATAAGACTCTACAAATGATACAAAGTAACAAGTTAATGAGAATACAAAGCTTACAAAAATAAAAATTAAACTATTTAATGTTATAAAAAAGATATACATACATATAGAACACTCACCACCTTATCATAATTGGTGAAGTACCGCTTGCAAAGCTTAGCCAGCAGCTCGTGAGGCTTGACGAACAGCCGTGAGCACAGAATAAATGTAAATGTGAAGGACTTTGTGGCACCAGGCCGCAGCATATCCACAAGCCCATCAAAAGTTGAGCTCACTATGTTACCATCTTTATACTCCACATCCGATTTCTCTGTGTATTGACTCGAAGATTTCGCAGTCGGTGATAGGACCGTTGACAACTGAACGTATATCTTTGTATTAGTACTACATTATATATATGATTGTTATATATTTAATATTACTGTATCACACCTGAGTAGGCTCCACAGAGGCAGCGGTGAAACTGATACCACCGTTCATCACCATGTGTTTGCAGCTGTTCTCCGACATGAACTTGTTACCTCTCACCATTGAATAGTAGTCATCATTCTAAGAATATTATCAGAAAAAGATAATTTATTATGAGCTTAACAAATCAAAGGCGAAATATGACTGTCAATTGAAAGTTATAAAGGACTATTAAATAGAAAAAAAATAAATAAACAGAGACGTAAAAAGGTTCCAAAAATAAGATAGAAACATTTAATTTATTTTCTTTGCCTATAAATTAATAGTAATGTATTTACTGTTATCAAACTGGTCGTTCAAGAATAAATAAACCAATCAATTTACTTAAATATGATCTATATAATATTTGAGATATTCAAAGTGATATTAACTTCAAAAAAGTTAAAGTAACTACAAGATGTAGTCAGATATAAAAACAGCAATCCCCATCAAGCAAAAGCACTAATTACTTTTAAAAAAACTTAATAAATGTTTTGCTTCGAAGTGAAATAAAATCCAATATCCTGCTTCCATTCCTATCAATATTTCACGACAAGAAGGAACTAAGAAGTCAATAAATGGCAAACGAAATTAGTTTGCAACTGCGACCTAGATTTTACATAAATGCTGCACAAAATAAATTTTAAACTGATATAAGCGAAAATAATGATAGTGGCTAGTTTTAGACATGTAATTATTATTAATAATGCGTTTACATTTACTATTGCTGGAGTTTTGATTAATAATTTGTATTATGTTCTATAAAAATATAGCTTAATAATACATATTTTCATTATTCCGTTTCAAATAATACTAACCTTATACATAAAAACCAGCCTCAACTTTAAAATCAACTATCGATGAATTTTATTCTGCAATACGTCCTATTCATAACGATCACAAATCAAAACTGGAGAGGCGCGAAGAGAGCAATTCAATCATAAAAAAATATATGTAATTTTATAGTTCATTGACTAGGATATATCAAGATTTTATAGAAATAAAACTTCTTCCTACAAATTTTAATGCGATATCTAGTTTTTTTTATACACTGAAATAGAGTTAACATCTTTTGATTTCGCTATCGTAAAACGAATAAAAGGCAGAGAACTAGTAATCGTAAAAATAACGAAAATATTTATATAATCATATATTATTTTTTAACGAAATAAATTTGTTTAGGCCTTCCAGTTATCAATTTAAAGGAGCAAGTAAATTCTATAAGAATGTATATTAGTATATATATCAAAACCTTGACATATACTTATATTCATACATAAAATGTTTATTGATTTAATACAAAACAATATATAAATAAAACTTTTGAAAAAAACATTATTACTGAAATAATACGTACCACAAATATTTTTTTACATATTAAACAATTTCCGGCACTTCGCATAAAACAATTTTTTTATATATATTTTATAGGATTTCGTACAAGTCAAATCTTTTAGCAATATCCATAGTCAACTTAAAAATATTATTAAATATAAAAATAGTACTAAAAGGTAATCTACAGGTTGCAATATAATACAGTACGTATATAGCATTTGCTTTAATACGTCATATACGATGAATTCCTCTTATTATTGTCACTTTAATTAAAAAGGATATTGCTCTATTTACGAACCAAGGAACATAACAAGGTAGCGGATGTCTGAAGCAAAGAACCATCATTTAGTAGGAAGCTAAAGGAAATTTATCTAACTGACGCTATACTTGTTACGACGCAAAATGTCTATAGTTAGTATAAATTGCATATTATATATGGACAAAAAACTTTTACTAGATGTCTTTAGAAAGTCAAATAAGAACGAAAAAATTTAAGAACGGTACATTAATAGAAAAAAAAATAGAAAATGAATGAATATTTCTTAGTTAAGTGATAGTAAAAAGTTAAAAGGATAAAAAACAATTACAGAATAAAGAGAAAGGAACATAAATTTGAGGATAGAAAAATAAATTTAACCAAGGTTTTAATTATTTCTATTTTATGTATATATCTATATCAATTTTTTTTAGAAACATATAGATAACAAGTATAAGACAATCATGGAAGCCGTTAGTAATAAAATTTATCATTTTATAAAAAATATCAAAAGTTCACAGTATCAAAACAAGACAAGTCGCTGGAGCAGATTATGTACTTAAAAACTAAATGTGTTTATATTTGAAAATAATTTTAGCAATAATAATATAAGCTGTTTAATTAAATTTTTACCCTTAAACACATATACTAACAAAATTTTAAATTATATTGTTAATTGCAGAAATGCTCAAGGGATTAAAGAAATGATCCTATAATCTCCGGAATTCACGAATGGAACTTTTTATTTGAATGTAAATATAATAAAGTTAAAATATTCCATTATTTATATCATTTACCCTATTAATGAGAACATTACTTGTATGAACTTCAGTTGTGTAATAGGTATTATGTGTGTAACATTGCAGTCTATACAAATAAAAACCAAAATCATTTAAATGAACACAAAAAAGGATCCCAGGACTGGATTGGATGAGGAAGGCAACTGGTGACCCTTATCGTGAAACACTTGAAATTGTGAAGCAATAGAGCAAAATAGCTTTTCGGAAAGCACAAAATCATTTTTGAAGCTAATTCAACAAATACAAAGATGTCTTTAAGATTTGGGTGCTTATAAAAAAATAATTATCTAAGGTAGGGAATTAAAGACTAACTCAGTGATTAAAAATTACATACAAATGATGTTTGTTATAATTATTTGGGTGTTAAATAATGAAATGAATTTAAACTTACATCATAATAAGAGAGTCCAGTGCCATGGAGAAGTGAAGATTCAGTGGGAAGAGATGAATGTTCGGGAGGTGGTGGAGCTGGCTCGGCAGGAGGTGGCGGCAGCTGAGAGTAAACCCAACTCGTTTTAATAATAATTATTCATACAGATTGTTTATTCTTTTTAATTTTTCTATATAATAAGGAATTTGTGTTAAACTCACCTTCACATTACATCCGCTACATGATGCTTCATTCAATTTACTTGCGTAGTAATACATAGCCATTCAATATCTGAGTCCTAATCTTTCAACTGCGCTTCCTTCGAAGCTCAATGAGATTATATTAAATAATCCATCATAAAAATATTCCACTATGACTGCAATGAAATTTATTATATCATTTTAAGTCCCATCATGCTTTTATCATCTTTGTATAATATACATAGTAAATTAATCACTCAATTCATTGCTAAGTGGAATCTTGGAGTCGGAAGTTTTACTACCTTTTTATATAATATTCCAGGAGTCTTTGTAAGGTCTATGAAGATAAAAACAATTTCATAAGTTACAGCAATACAAATATTTGAAAAAACATCAACAATAATATATTTTTAGGTAATATAAATTATAATAAATGTTATTTTTCTATTAAAATTCAAAGTAACATAATATGTTTTAAATATGATTCTTTTCTGGGTGGCATTTTGTGTGATTTATTGTTAAGGAATGGAGGTATTTTTCTATTTCAAGTGTAGAATTTATGGAATTAACACAAAATTTACAGATCCACTCATATGGGCTAGACGACTAAATTTAATAAAAAAATAATACACAGTAGGAAACAGTAACTCAAGAACACTGAATTTATTACAGTCTCATTAATCCATAAAATAGTAAAGGGAAAGCAAAATAAATGTGGCCAATTAAAATAAATAAAAATAGACGTCAACTGTAAAAAAAATCCTGCCTCAAATTTCGATGCTTCCAAGAGAAACCCTATATTATTTAGTAATAAAAAATTTAATAATCTTATGTTTTTTAACAAACCCTGTGTTATTCGTTCAACGATTTCATAGTTACAAATTTCAAAGCGGTACTTAAATATGAAGTTACTTAAAGATTTAGTTTTTTTAAATATGTAAAGTGGTGTATAAAACTTACCCAAATATAATAATTATTAAAAGAAATAAATTAATGTAAATCTTTAAATTATACGCACATAGTAAAACATTAATTTAAAAACACTATTACAGATATTCCAACACCCTTGCTCAAGTATTATGTGCACCACCATTTATCTATCAAACATTTAAATCGAAAACGCTTTTACGAAGTGCAGTGAAAGTAGCGTCTATAAAAATAAAAGTCTTACCGTTTTTAAAATTACACACACAATTCACGGAGCTTTTAAAAGAAAATTTGACACATCATTCACGTTAAGAATAATTAAAATATCGTATATCACAAATTTTCGACCCAATATCTAGGAAATCCTGGCGGCACTAACACTGTTTTTTTTCTATTATTTTTTAGTCATGAAAAAGTATTGTCCAGTGCCCACCCTGGGCCTACCACAGATAACCTATCTATATTTTTATAAATACGCCGACAACCACTGAAATTTGAGTAAATTAAAAAAAGGCATATAGTAAATAAATAAATATTTCTTTTTATAATTTGATATATTTAAGGAGAAATTATTTTGCAATCGTAAATTTTACATAAATGTCAAAATAGTTTGTTAAAATATAAAATATTTATTAATACACAGATTTTTCATAAGAAAAGAAATATAGCCTTTAATTTAAATACTATTGGATAAAGATATTAATACTTAAGTAACAAGTAATTATTTTTTGCAAACCTATTCCAGGGCAAAAAAATAAAAATTAGGGGTTGTTTGATAGACAAAAAGATATTTAAAAAATACGTTTGTCTGAGTATATTAAAAGTTTTAGTCTCTTAAATATTCACAACTATTTGAACTGAAAAAGTAATTTAAAATTATAGACAAATAATTGTAATTATTGATATAAATCTAACTAAACGCTTAATTAAGAGGTTGAAGGTATTATATGGCAATATATGCAATTTTTATTGATCTGACTGCGTAGGTAACAAGTTTCAAATGGCGCGCACTTTGAACGTTTGACCGCTGTTTAGAACCAATTTTGAATCAATGTCACCGTGATTTGTCATTTTACAATAAACAATTTGATGTAGAATTACTGTTTCCTTGGAGATTTGAGGAAGTTGTTTACAAGTTGGGTTGAATGTTCCCGTACTTAAAAATAAAGATATTCTATAATAGCGATTAATTTACTACGAGCCCTATGCAAAGTCAAAATTATAAACGTAGGACAACTTTAACAACGTTACCAGCTATAGAAACCATACAGAGAAATGTTAAGAAGGTTCCAACATATCATAGCAGGTATTTCAAAGCAACACCATCATAATTAGAGCACAAAAATTATAATCTATTTATTAAAATTATGAAAATTACTGTTTTAGAAAACCCAGAGACATACCATTTCACCTACCTCACAAAAAGCTCATTGATAGAATAGAGTATGTAGAAAAAGAACCAGAACCTTTGGTAAGACGTCTTATTATAATTTCTATATACCTAGTAAAATTTTGGTAGTATGAAAATTGATATATTTTCCATCCAAGACTAATTATTTCAATTTTGTCTATATTATATTTATTAAATAATTTTACCTTATTAGACTGGCTTTGCTGCTGCACAAGCACATAGATTTCTAAATGAGAGGAAAAGTGGCAAACTACAATTGGAGCCTATAAAAACTGACAATGGTTTGTGCTATAAACTTTTATTTATTATTGAAACTGACATTTGGATTTATCGAATACTTGTGTGTACTAAAAAATATTTTATTAAATTCATTTGATTTGGTTGCCAAATAAATTAAACAAATAATGTTTGGATATTTAAAAGGAGTTTATATTAAGGCCTATTATAAGTGTTGGATAAGTAGTAATTTTCTTTTTAAACTAGTAGATTAAAATCAAAATAGATGTTGTAAGTAAAATATATTTTGTAGGTAAAAAAAAGAAGGCTATTACTATTAGGGAATCACGGAGTAGTGTATATGAGGATAATAGAGAACAAACTACGGATCCATTGAAAATTAAACCTGAAGTAGCATCTCAGAAGGAAGTTATTGACTATGTACGAAATAAGCCCTCATGTGGTTTCTTGTACATGATATATGCAGTGCATCCCCAAAATGTGTATTTCACACCATATTATCTCAAGTAAGCCTTATTCAAGCATTTTCAAATTTGAATTTAATTATAATTCTAATACAAAATACCTACAGGGTAGTTCCGTATGAGGAAATAGACAAAAAAAATTATTTGACCATTAGCCCTTGCGGAGTGACACATTACACAAATGAAATGGTTTTTACGAAACTACCAGAATGGGAACAGGAATACACAATATTTGTACAACTTACAAATGTAATTTCTTTTATTTTCCTCTAAATCAGTAAAACCTAAATATACAATTGTTGATAAAAAATGTTGCATTTGTGCACATTGTATCATATCTAATTCTTTATAGATAAAATTTTTTCGTGTGTACCGTTATTGGAAAGCATTTTATGTTTGGCGGAAATCAATCGTGTTTCGTAAGTATAATAAAACACGGAATAAGATTGCCAAGAAACTTTTCATCCTTACACCAGTTCTGGGCAAAGCATTGCTTAGCATTCAGGCAATGTGTTGTGATATGTATATGAAGTCATTTGCTGATGTATCAAGAGATATGGATACTGCTTTTTTCTACTTCATTGAAGTGCAGGTACTTTAAATACGTAGTATAAAGTAACTTATTTTATAATAAAGAGACTTAAACTTTTTATAAATTAGTAAAATTATGTCAAAAATCATAAAAGAGATGTATTGAGTTCAAATTTAATTTAGTCTAAAGAATTACTTTTCTCTAGTGCAAAATATTGTATTTAGCAAGGAATTATGAAGTGTGATATGAAGCCCTGGTATTGAAATGAATAACAGCACACATTTTTTATGCCCGTAGATGAAACGCATGGAATTCATAAGAGACAAATTAATCGCCTTTAGATCAATAGTTCTTGAAGTGATTACAACTGCTTGCCACGCTGCACTCTACCAACAGGGTTTCACCTTTGATGACAGGAATATTCCACCTTTCCAAATCATTAGAGGGAAACCCACAGGAGGGATGTCCTATACCGAAAAAGCTAATAAGCGAAAATACTGCGAGAGACTTGCTAGGTAATATTCCAAAAACTCCAAAACATTCGCTTCTAGTATGGTTGCATTTTATTTTGTTTGTTACGTTAATTCTTCAGTATTTTGAATCAGTTGAGTATTCTATATTCTTTACACGTCTCTTCTTTACATGCCTAACATATTTATAAGAAAATATTAATACATTTAAAGAAAGAGTTTGTATAAGTTTTTTAAAATCACTTTAATGACCATACCGATTAACGATACCTGGAATGGTAACTTTTTACTATGATGATTTATAAACATGTTTATATGCAGCTTTATAAAACTTTCGGATTATATGACAAATTATATGCTACACCGTCTGACGAAGCGTTCCAATAAGATAATGGCGGCTATGTTACGAATACACGTGGAATTTACACCATCGCTTGAGCTTCTAACAGGAAAGGAACTGGATGAAGTGCTGGAAGTGGTGCCACGGCTAACCGATACCTGTAAGGTAGGATAAAGAAGAATATAGTTAACGATTATCTTAAAAAATCTGCTTTGCTACAAACCAATATTTTTTACAACAGTGGGCACTTTTCCAAATCGACGCATATGTTCTTTCATCTGGCGACGTAGAACTAAATCCAAGTGAAAAAGTTGTATCTAGTTTCATGCAAAAAATCGCTAACTATTGGGACGAACACGTGAGGACATTCCACAATTTTCTCAATGAGGAATCTTTGCAAATATTCGTACAGCCAACTGTCATGGGAAAACAAGTTGAATGGTCTGCGGGAGAATCGCCAAACTTGTACTTTTTAATGAACCAAGATAAAAAAATGTTGAGTGATATCACTTTTATACCCGAGTGCATTCGCCAAGCCTTTAAAAATGTCTGGATTTTCTTGGATAGAATGGATGTATTCATGAAGAACTTCAAGGAAGCTCACGAGATGGACGTTGAACTAATTAGAAGTGAACGCGATGTAAACGAGTTTAGGTTATTGTGTAATAAATTGGTTAAGCAAATGGAAGATATTGAGGAGGTT